TAGTTTTAAACTTAGTGTAGGGGTGCGACGTCAGAGCTTGCGCATGGCCACAGCCTCCTACATTTAACAAGCCATGAAGTTAAAAAGGCAACACCGCAATCTTACCGCCAAGTGGTGCTGGTGGTGTTTGTTTTTATAAATATATATTTTTTATTTTAATAATATGAATCACGAAAAATGCATAATTTATTGTACTAAAGGGCCAAAAACAGTAATTCAATGAATAATATAACTATTTGTGTAAATAAGAACAGTAAATAATTGATTTAAATGAATATTTTTCTAGAGTCTAAAGTGTTATAGGCCTATGTTTCAGTATGTCTTTTGAAAAATCTAACTTTTTCTTTCTTCGGGATTTTTTCGGAAGGCAGGTCCATTCAAATACTTGAGCTGATTTTCGAAAATAAGAGGTACCTACTTTTAAGAGTTGGACTTTTCAGTTTGAACCCTCGAACTACGCCTTTATCCTTGTTTGTTTCAAATCTAATTATTTCGGTTTCTTCAAAATGTTTACAACACACCACAGAATTTTTCGTTATTGTATAATCTCGGGTATAATTATCTTGGTGTATTGCTTTCATCCACATTTTTTGCAATTCAGAATTTTTTTGGAAATGAAAATGTTTATTGCATTTCTTCAGTTTTTAAGGAACTCCTAATAGTTCGATTTGCACCCAGGAACACAGTAGTTTCATGGCATCTGGAACAAGTTTAAATATCTTAGGTAATATATCGAGACATATGCTCTTGCAGACAAATATTAATATTGTTTTTATTGTTTTATCTCACCTTACCTTCATTTTTGCTCCTGTACCCATTTGCTAAAAAATTGCAATCAAAGCACAAAGGAACAGGTATCAACTAAATATGGGCAATATATTGGTGTGTTTCTATCCACTTTTTCGTCAATAATGCCCACAAAAATACTAAACTGCAACAATACACAATGAAAGCAATACACAGAAACACATAACCCAATAACAAAATAGCACCATACGCGACGTTGCCGTCATTTCCAACTTCATGGCTTGTTAAGTATAGGAGGCAGTGGCATGGCGCTTTCTAATCCGTACAGGACGGACGTAGCTGAACAGAAAATCTCTCTCTCTCGCCTGGAACGTCGATCTAGTAACATGTAAAACCATCTGTGATATTAAAATAGTCTGACTAGTCAATTTGTGTTTCTTGTAAGTGTAATTAGCAAACCAAGCATAACAAGTCGCCCCCAACTTGTTACAATGATGTCGTCAATAGTGTTACACCATATGGCCGCAATTTCCACAAATGAGGCCGATAAGCAATAATCCTGTGTTAGTGTGTATTCTCGTATTATCCTTACATTTGCACTCTTTCGAAACCAAAAACTTCCTCTGCATGAACGTCAAAAATTGTTGCATACATTTAGGAGTTTTCGGAAACACTTATCCTCGCACTTACTCGATTTCAGGCCTTTTCATTATCTACACTTAAATTTCCTAGAGAAACCTTAACGCATGTTGCGTTTTAAAGGTAGGGCATAATCATTTGAAAGATAGGGCATTGCCTCCCAATGCCTCCTCCGAGATACGGCCCTGGCACACCTGCTTTAAGCATTTCACTAGTGCTTTTCGATATCGTCGGGATATTCAGCAGACAGTTTTCTATTCAGTTCGAATTGAAAGTTTGTTCGGGTGACTCCATCTTTCAGTCGCTCAATATTTAAATCTCTCGTTTGGTGGTACTTGAAGGGTCTAACAGATCGGACCATTCGGTGATCCATTCAGCAGCCATCGATATGGATTATAGCTCTGGATATTTTCATGACACGTCGATGAGATGCCAATGCTTTAATTTTCTATGTTGCCACGTTACTTTCAGTTTTTTTTTCTGACGAAAAAGAGTAAGTTAGTGGTTTTTGTGTACCGTGTTCATGATAAAGATCATAAACCGTTCAGGAAAGAATTAAATGGTACTTTCACTTTATCTTGAAGTGAAGTCAATCTAATGCTTTTATGATATTTTGAGCTACTCTCTCATCAATTCTTTTTGTAGGTAAATTGCATTGAGTTGAGCAAATCTATACCAAACCTGCAGGATCTTAAGGATGGAGTTTTTCTAAGACACTTGCCTAAGCTAATGTAAGTCACTACCTATATACAGGGCCGGATCTACGATTTTTTCGAGGGGGGGGCGAAGATGTAAATTGCCGCCCTCTGTTAAATATTATTTTTGCTACTACTGTGCGTAGTAAGAAAAAATTTGTATGCAATACGTGCGTAAAGCACACTTTACACACGTGTTGCATAAATAACTATTTTATGTATTTTATTCAAAAATGAGGTGTGAAGATTTTAGATTTTACAATATATGTATATTTATATAGTAGTGGCGGCTCGAGGTCTATACTAGAAGGAGTTCACACATAAAGTAGGACCTAGTAGTTGAAGCCCAACGCAGGTGCTTTGGAAGTTTTTTTTTGGGTGCCACGCCCAAAAATGAATTTAAAGCCTCCAAAAATAGTTATTTACACATTGCAAGAGCGTTTATGAACATGATTACAATAACGAGTGTGAAAGATTATAACGACGAGGTCGTAGACCGAGTCGTTCTAATCACACGAGTTCTGTACTCATGTTTAAACGCACGTGTAATGTAAAACGTTTTATCGGCAAATCGAAAAATAGAAAAATGTTTTTTCAATTTGTCAAAACTCAAAAACTAGTTGTGTTATAGATTCATAACCTAGTAGATACCTAACACTACTAGAATGAATGAATTTCAAAAAGTACCGTTTTTCAATAAAAATTAGTTAATTACTGAGCTCAATACATCACTAAGTACGATAATACAATTTATATCGTAACTCAAACAGGCTGAAATGAGTTACGTAATAAGCTCTTACAGTGTGGGTCGTACATAAAATAATTTATTGATATATTAAAGATTGAATTAAAAAACTTAATTTCTTCAATGGCTCAATATTTGACGAGTAATTTCATCTGGGTGGGCTCGTAGCGCTCAATACAGCTGTGCTGGATTGAATGTTGTACCTACTGACTGTTATGTACACTTGGCCAATTATAAAACTGGTACGCATTTTTCTATCGTGTTGTATTGTATAAATCGACCTTATTTATCATCTTAACAATGACAAAAAGTGTCAAGTCAGTGTCATATTTAAACCAATCATAACATAAACATGTTGCATTTACCTTTGTTCAGCTTTGACGTTGACAAAAACTGTCTGACCTAAAGTTTTTCAGAAGAGACTTTTTGTTGTTAAGCCTGACTTACACTAGGCAAATTTATGAAATATATATTGCCTGTGCCAGTTTTATATTTGGCCAAGTGTACAACAGAAGGCGATTGATTCTTGATTCATTTAATGCGTTATATTTTTGAGTTTATTTGTATGTATTTGTCTGCGTGCACATAGATATTTATGTTTAATAAAAAAAAGTAAGACAGTGTCCTCTCTTTTTGCCGCCCCCCTAAGTTGCAAAGGGGGGCACGCGCCCCTGTTCGACCCTCCCCCCCCCCCTAGATCCGGCCCTGCCTATATAAACAGTTTGTGAACTCTATTTACATATAGTTTTTTTTTGTATACTAAATAATACTTTTTACGAATATCTTAAACATACTTATTAGGTATTAGCCAATTTCCTTAATTTTTGGGGGTTCCAAAGATTTTAGAAAAAGTGTCCCTACCTTGTACCTGCGTTTATTGGCAGAATTGAAAAATAGGGCCACTGATCTTCTATTACAGTAGAACCTCGGTTATTCGAGATAATCTTGGATAATCAGGGGGTCTTTCTTTATATTGACTGGGTAAATCCAGAACTCGGATAATTGCGACTCGGGTAGGGGAAAGTGTTCCACAATGAAACATTCGAAATAACTTTTTGAACTTGGTGATTAAATAAAAATCGGTGGTTTTTTGATAAATTTGAAATTCCGGAATTGTTTAGGCATGTCTGAATTGGGATTCTGTATAAACTAGGGATGTTTAAAAGGGCGGACACACAGACGTGGATGTCTTAATACATATACGTGCATACATCAACGTGCAAACAACAACGTGCATGGCGCTTTTGTACAGACGCTCGCACAAAACTGCAGTCTTGCTAATAGGCGGTTACACACGGATGTGGATGGCTTAATACATATACGTGCATACATCAACGTGCAAACAACAACGTGCATGGCGCCTTTGTACAGACGCTCGCACAAAACTGCAGTCTTGCTATTCTTGCTACAGTATTCCGAGTGTGCATACAAAATTGCACATTCAAAAACGCGATGTTATTTTGCATACACATTGATGTTTTTGTTTGCGCGTTCATGTATGGCGTACATGTTTTCAGACATCCACGTCCGTGTGTAACCGCCTAAACAGACGATACATTTTTGCCAACTTCTTAAAAAGATATGGAAAAAGTTCCACTATGAGACATCTGGTTTTGTTCCACAATGAGACGATCTGACGACTATCGGATAAATATTTCAAGTTACTCTAGTGCTTCTTTGAAAGAATGGTTATTTTTCTTTCATGAATGTTTTTTTCAATATTTTTTGTAGTGTTTTTTGGTATAAATGGACTTGTTTCACCGTGGAACATACTTGTTCCACAATGAGACAAAAATCGCGTTTTGAAAAAATTCCCCTTTTTATTTTTTGAATCGATTTAATAATTTGCGTTAAATTATGGGAAATATATCAACCTATGAGCATGCAACATCGAAACTACGAAATTCAATCATAATTTCTGGCTATTTACCGAAACGCAATTTTTGTCTCATTGTGGAACACTTTAAGAACACTTTCCCCTAATCGGGGTTCTGTTCCTAATTATGACTTATGATGATCTTATTATTTTTTTCATTGGCCCACTTTCGTAAAGTCATCTTTTACATCACCAAACCTTATTTCCGCGTGCCGTTAATTCTATACAGTAATGTTACCAAGGAATTATATATAAATTGCGGATTTGACCTTCATCTGCGATCATTTGATATCAGTGTTTGTGCAATAAACTGCATCTCGATATGATTTGGTGGCCGGTATATTTTCTGGCGCTTTGCGTTGCAACTTTCCTCTTTTTGAAATATAAACACAATTACTGGAGAAGAAGGGGTGTAAGGCAATTTGAGCCCGAGTTCTTCTTCGGAAATGTTAGAGAGGCTGTTCAAGGAAAAGCTAAGATTATTGAAATTTGCAGAAAGTACTACTATGATTTGAAGAAAAAAAATGAACTTTATGGTAAGTCAAACTTAGAACTTAAGTTAATTTAAACTTCACTTAAAAGCATATTATTTGGTGAATTAATGAGGATAATAATCTTGCATTCGTAATTATTTATTTGTATTTTTTCTGATGGTTATTGTTTCAACTTGCCTTTTATCTCCTCTCCTATTCCGAGCATTGTCTTCAAATATTCTTTGTTTTTATCGAGACATTTTTCCTGCTTAAAAAAATTTGTAAGTAGTTCGGGGCAGTTATAAAAATTAAAATATGTAATAGGATGACAAGCATCAAATATGTATAATTTTTTTTTGTAAGGCGATCGGATATGACCCAACATTGCATCGTTTTCTCGTGGTTTGTTGGACCAAAGCTATAATTATTATACTTAATTGACTAGTAATTATGACGAATAATTCGAAAAACGAAAATTATCTAATGAATAATATACGAATTAAATTGGACATTTCAATTTTAGAGCCTTGAAACTACATTGTTTCACATTACAATATTTACTTTTATATACTATAAACTAAATACTAAATTATCATTGGTATTATAATAATTTTGTGCTATCTCTTATCGAGTAAAGTGGGAATATCTATACCTGGAAAGTATTTCTGCTGATTTTATCATCACGTTGTATCACATGAACTTCTTGGAAAATAGTTTTTTGAAACTATGAAACTGAATGCATTTTTTATGTTATGCTGATTGTCACAAAGTTACATTTCGCATAAAAGCCGCAGGAAGCGTATAGTGATTATGGTGAATTTTCCCGAAACCCCCCGTGGTCTATTTGGAAGCCAAAAGTGATATGAGAATAGTGACTTATTACTGGAGCAAGTCCACCAACACACTCTACGGAGTGACTTCCATCGTATTCTATTTGAAAATTAGACAATAAGCTACGAGAATTTTTACTTCGCCAAAGGACTTTATATTTAAAATCGAGTTCCAAAGATCTAGTTAAAGCTGCTAACGTCAAATTTATCGCTCCATGAAAAATCTGAATTTTACTGAAGTAAACCTATCAAAAAAATTAAGAAGTAGGTACCTAGTGAGGAGTGAAACATAGTGGATATATAGGATGATTGAGAGTGGTGTAAGAAAAACCCGGAAATAAAATCTACTGAGGTCCAGAGCGACTCAGAAATTATAAATGACAAATAAATAATCATTACTGTTGTATTTTTTTTCAATTTCAATGTAAAACCAAGTTTCAATTTTTGACTCAACAGACCACATAGACGCAAATAACAACAGAAATGTAAACACAAACAAAAATTCTGAAGAAGAAATAATAAATTTTTCGCAAGATAGTTGGGATGAAGATAATCTTCCAAAATACCCAAAAGATAAAAAAATTGAGGAATTAATCTCCCAAAAGATAAAAAATTAGGGAATTCCGAAAACATTTTCTAATCGGCTAGTTAATCCAAAAACTTCAATAAAAATTAAGAAATAGAAGAAAAGAGCCATTGTGAAAAAAGTAAATTTGAATTCAAAACTAATTCGTACTCCCTTGCATCTTGCATGTGTTCAAAATATGGAAATTCGTTATTCTTGTATCTTATTACGATTTGTTGAAGGATGATAATAATAATCGTGGGGACCAAGATTACAATGGAGACTTTGAAGACGATATTATTTCTGTAATAAGTAAATGCAAAAAACCGGGTCCCAATGAGTTTTTTTGATAGTTATTTCTATCGCCTGATGTAGAAGGATTCAATTGATTGATTAATAGCTATTTATATGAGAAGTACATAAAGTAAGGCTTTATTGTACGAATAATTTTATGGCCGAGCGAGCTTGCGAGCGAGGCTATTAAATAATGAGTAAATAAAGCCTGTTTATGTGAGCGTTATATACATGATTTTATGTACGATTGCGACTGATTTTTGTTAAAAATTTAAAAAATTTAATGAAAAAAGTAAAATTCGCGTAGGTATATATGTTTCACCTTGGCAGGTTGTCAGGACCTGTTTCACCTTGGCAAGTTGTCAGGACCTGTTTCACCTTGTTAGGTTGTCCAGGTAGGCAATAAAGTAGCACTTTATTTTACTAGTAAAATAAAGTAGCACTTTATTTTACTAGTACAATAAAGTGCTACTTTATTGACGCAAAGCTGTTCTATAAATAGCACTTTATTGGTCAATCGGACATAAAATAATTTTTTTCAGGGGGAATATATTTATTTTATAGTCCTGTCTTGTTGCCTGTCAATCCGGAATTAATCAAACAAATTTTGACCAAAGATTTCGAACACTTTACCTCTCATGGATTATTTCACCACGAAAATGACTATATGCATAATCATCTTTTTAACGTCGAGGGAGAGATTTGGAAAAACCTACGATCAAAATTGACACCAACATTCACTTCTGGAAAAATGAAGGGCATGTACGAGATACTATATAGTTTAGCTGACCGTCTTGAAAAGAAAAGTAGGTATAACTTTAATTCGTAATATATATGTCATATTAAAATATGACGTTTTTTAAGCTGGAAACTATGCCAAAACAGGAAAACCAGTTGAAATAAAAGAGCATGCAGCATGTTTTGGTACTGACGTTGTGGCTACATGTTTCTTTGGTCTGGACAGTGACTGCTTGAATGTGCCAGAGAGCGAATTTAGGAAGTATGGCAAATTGATATTTGCTCCAAGACCTGTGAGATTTGTCATGGAAATGCTCATTAATTGGAACCTACTTGGCGCGTTGGGACATACATTTGCACCCAAAAAAATTACGAAGTTCTTTACCCAAGTGATTACGGAAACGGTCGCTTATAGAAAGAAAAACAACGTGTCAAGGTATAAAATATAATATTTTTTCAGATCGGTTTTAGGTGAAATTTGTGAATTTTTAGGAAAGATTATATGGACCTTTTAATACAACTACAGAATGAAAATCAGTTGAATGAAAAGGAACTTATAGCTAATACCATGGTTATGTATGCTGCAGGTTAGTGATCAATTGGGTTTTTTAAAATCGCCCCAATTTTCCCGTTAAATGATAAAAGGTGACTATCTTCATTTTTTCCATTCCTCCAAGGCTAAGGAAAAAGTTACGGAAAAAGGTTTTTTCAAGCCTTAGCACAACACTATTATTATCATCAGTCGTTTTGAGTACACCGCTGGACATACGTTTCCAATAAATCATTCCACGCCTCCAGTCTTGAGCACTTTGCATCCAGTTGAACTGGATGCGCTTGATGTCGTCCGGCCATCTTGTTGAGGGACGTCCTCGGTTACGATACACATCATATCTAGGCCTCCATTCGAGTATTTTCCTACCATTTCACATCTCTGACTCTGACAACATGACCTGAGAAGTTCCATTTCAGGGTTGTAATTCTTTCAACTGCTTCCGTAACCCCGGTTGATTCGTAACCTTCTGAGGAATATATTTAACATTGATCGCTCCATTACACTCTGTACCACTTGGATTTTGTTCACAACTTTTCGGGATAGAGTTACCGTTTCTGCTCCATATGTTAGAACTAGAAGCACACATTGATCTTCAACCACATGGGAATATCTGATTTAATGACATCACTCAGTTTTCTGTAAGCTGCCCATGTCGGCAAGTACCTACAAGGTTGGTCATGAATTGTGTTTTTTGGAAAAATTGATTTTAGGTCCAACTCGTGCACAAGAGCTTCGGAGATCCTAGAGAAGCTGACATGCATGATCTACCCTGTCTGAAATGAGACATATGTTGTCTGCAAACCTCAGACTGATTAGATACTGTGCCACTAAGGCTTTGCTATTTAAGCTGTCACACAAAGAGAGGCATTGTAAAATATGAGCCGTTGCGACTTCTTGACGTAACACAAAGGGAGCTTCATAGGCAGAAACACACAAAAGGGCGGCTTACTGTAAGAACAGAGCACCAAGCGTCACAACACAGATAAGCCTTGTTGGCCTTATATCAAAGCTTGGAAATGTAATATTCCGAGAAAATAGTCCCGATAATTACAATGTCTTTACTGTGAAAATTAAATTTAATCAAACAATCAAAAAACTGAATTTCCGATACTATCTCAAATCAGTATCGATAAATTAAAAAATGAAACAAATTAACGCTAACGTATTTCGACACCCAGCCTATGTCATCATCTAAATTAGATTCTTAAAAATAATAAAAACGAGGACAGGGTGATGTCATCCTAACACCCGATCAATGAACTTTTTTTTTAGCGAGGCCATGTTAATTAAATCGAATGATTTATGGCATTTTTGAACCACTGTATTCGACCACGATAAATCAGTATATTGCGACATAATTATTCGATTTTTTAAACTTAAAATGATAAAAATTTCAAGGAAATTGCATCATTATTTTTAATAATATTTAGGTCGGCCAATGGGATTGTCTGATTGATCGTCAAACGACCGCCTATTGAAGATTTTGGGGGATAATTATTAATACTTTGCGGGAAGATCGATTTAATATAAATACCGCGGTTTTAGAAGTGGAAGGCAGTTGTCAGTTGAGAGATGAGTTAGCAGTCCAGTCCAGTTTGAGTTAAAGTCTACAGTCAGAAGGGTTGAACTTCGCGAAAAGTTCTTATTAGGGCGTCGGAAAACGCGTTCAATTTAACTTAGAAAAAGTACGGAAAATTGTGAAAGAAATAACATTCGAAATTCGTTTAATTTATGTGCGTGCTAGCTATAAATTTTCAGTAATTAATTAATTAAGTAATTTCACTAGTGCGAAGTTAAATGTAAGTACTTTAGTGTTTAATAATTTTCTGACTTTTATCAATGATTCTAAATGATAAGAAGTGAATTAACAAATGACTTTCAATGCCTAAAAACTTGAATGATTTTCCTGGTAAAACTTTTGACTTTATAAAAGATGAATGACTATAAAGTGAAATATCAATGGAACATTATTGCATAACTTTAATTGCCTTCAGATATAATGACATTCTAATTTAATTGTGCAAGGAAAATATGAAGGGAACTTATAATGCATTTAACAATATACAATTTTGAGTTGGAATTATGAATTAAACAGTTGGATTTATTAGCTAGGCTAGGAATCCGACAATAGAATTGTTCTGATTAAATAAACTATTAAATGGAATAGAAAATTTTAAAAAGAAACTTGATGTTCATGAAATAGAATTGTCTTAAAATATTGGAAAGTTGTTGAAGGAAACTTATAATAGAATTTGTTCTGATTAAATAAACTATTAAATGGAATAGGAAATTTTGAAAAGAAACTTGATGTTCATGAAATAGAATTGTGTTAAAATATTGGAAAGTTGTTGAAGGAACTTCTTGTTCATGAAATTAATTTTGAATTAGGGTTTTTATTTTTCAAGTAGAAATTATTGTATGGTTTTATAAGAATACGTTAGTACTACCTATATTAATGAACAAATGGGTAATTATTTTGGGTTTTTCATAAGCAGTCAGTAAGGGACTTAGAACTTTTAAAGGATTTATAGAAATAGATGAAGGGTAGTTTAATAGGAATGAATCGGAAGTGTTGAAATGAGTTAACTTATAAGTTATTAGGAATAGTAAGAATAGGGCGTTTCTTATTTAGTAGGAATATTTCAGTGGTCCGTAATAATAACAATTTTAGAACGGATGTGAAGTAATTGAATTTATAGAAATAGACGAGGCTGTCAGAATTGGAAGATATTTGGCTGATTAAAAATTTTGGTTTTATGTATAATAAAATATAATTTAGTACACTTCAATAGTTTGTTTCTCTCTCTTGCAAATAGACCCTTCCACAGATTTTAGGTAGCAGCTCCAAGTAAATAAACACCATCAATATACCGCTCGCCATTTACCATCTAACTAATTACATATAGTACTTGGAGCGTTTTGCAGCGTACAGTAAGCTGCAACTAACAGAACTTTTTTTGCGGAAATGTCTTTTGTCTACTCTTATCCTTGATTCTTCAATTGGTCAAAACGAATAGGGTACTAAGAGAGGATGATTGGCAAAGCAAGAGAAAGATAAATTTGTTGAATGCTGATGTCGGAAATTCGAAGACAGATGGCCCCGGTTACACAAAAATGTTATAGAGGTTCAAAACACAAAAAATGTGGTCATACATCTTCATTGCACACTTATTTGACCCATATTTCATGTATTTTTTTTTTGTTGAAATTTTCTTCTCGATGTTACTCTTGTGAGATGATTCAAATTAGCCTTGCCGTGTGAAGGTCTAATTTGAATGAATCTAGTTTCCTGCTGTCTTTCATTGTTTAGCTAGTAGCTATAATTTCTCTTTCCTTCTACTTTTAAATCCAGTCGCTCTTATATATTTTTCAAGTGAAGATACCTCTCCGAGTTGGTATTAGTAATTTCGTATTAGTTAAGTAGATACTATTCTAAAACTCTAATTGTAGGGTTTGAAACTTCATCAACTACAACTACTTTCCTCATGTACGAACTGGCTAAGAATCAAGACATTCAGGACAAAGTCAGAGAAGAAATCTTAGGTATATGCAAAAAAAATCAAAGCGGGGAAGTTACTTACGATGACCTAGCAGACATGAAGTATTCTGAAATGTGTATATATGGTATGTATTTTCACGATTTAGAAGCAAATAGCATAATTTATTACACTTCAATACCCATTTGAGCCAATTTTTTTTTCAATTTATCAGATGTTTGTGAAATAATATTTTCAGAAACTTTAAGACGATACTCGCCTGCAACAGAAGTTCCAAGATGCTGCACCAAAACTTACACGGTTCCTGGTACTGACACCGTAATTGAAAAAGATACTTTCGTAATTATTCCTGCTTGGCTCATCCATATGGACCCAGAATTTTATCCGAACCCAGAAAAATTCAACCCGGAAAACTTTGCAGCTGAACATAAACATTCAAGACACGACTTTGTGTTTATGCCTTTTGGAGGTGGACCCAGATTGTGTAGGTATAGGTAATTTTATTGATTTAGTATTTAGCTGACTTTCGTTCTAATCAATAATCGTATCTCTTTATTTTAGGTTTTAGATTCGCCTTGATGCAAATTAAAGTGAATTTAATAAAACAACTCAGAAAATATAGATTTACACTAAATTCAAAAACGCCAAAAAATTGTACTTTTGAATCACTATCTTTAACTTTAACGGCTAAAGAGAATTTATATTTGGATGTTACTCCAGTATAATATGACCCTATTTAAATTTATTTACAGTATAAATGGTGTTTTATTGATAAAGATGTAGCTTTGCTTTGCTCAATTATTTTTTTAGGCACCCTAGGTTGTACCAAATGGAGGTCGAGTTGAGTACTGGTACTGAAGGTTTAAAGTCAACCCCTATTTTCTGAACCTTGCGTTCAAAAATTCCAAAAAAAAATATATGTTTTATGGTTATTGATATACTTTAATCCATAATTTTTGAACTAACCGAAACTAACCCATCCACGTAATGCGTGCTAGTCCTTGCATGTAAATATTGAATTTAGTACACTTATAATCAGTATTAAATGAACTGTAATGAAACTAAGCAAAAATATACAAAGTAGCCCAAACTAACCCGTCCACGTAATGCGTACTAGTCCTTGCATGTATTGAATCTAGAAAAAAACAGCGCGCTTCGCGCGCTTTGTTATTAACCAGTAGTCTAGTACACTTATAACCAGTATCACTGGCGTGGCCAGGATTTTGTCTTGGGGGGGACAAATTTGCAGGAAGTGTTTCTTGTTGGTTCATCGCAAGTGCTGCCGAAGGCAAAGAGCCGCAGTCGCGAAATTTTTGAATGCAAGGCGGTTTTTTTGGGTCTTTTAACAGTATTTTTGGGATCATTTTTTCTAATTTTCAAGAATTATCTATAAAATTTAAAGATTTTGGGGGGGCAAATGCCCCTCTCCCCCCCACCCCGGGCTACGCTACTAGTCCTTGCATGTATTGAATTTAGAAACAAAACATGCAAAGCAATTTTTTCAATGTAACTGATTTCAGCTATTCTAAAGTCCGGAAAATGGAAATGACGCATTTCCGCAGAAAAAGGACCCCGCACACTTCTTATGGGATTTTGGTTGAACGCGGAATTTAACCAAATTTTGGTATGTTGTAGATTTCGACCTCCTGAGTAAAAGTTCTCATGGGTACAAACCGATCCTTAGTTTCGGATATACGGGGGTTTTTCTAATACTACCTCAGGCAACCTGAAAATACTGAATTTTCATGCTTTTTTGCGTTTATTTGTGGTAGAGGTAGGTAGCTTTGAAAAATGTTGATTAAGTTTAGACCTTTTACAGAAAGGTGCATGATTTTAGTTAGGTGCCTATATATAGTACTTGTTTGGTGGACCTTTGTGTGTTTTTAAAACAAACACAAATAGAAGTATGATAAACTATATACTGTATTTTTTCCCAAGATAGATTTTGACTTGACACTGTCAACTTTGAAACATAAACAATGCCGCTTATTGGTCGCAAGATGCCATTTGCACCTCATGCATTGTGAAACTGACTACAACCTGCAGGAGCACCTCATTTTCCGACCAATCAGGGCCAAGCGTTATTGTTTATGTTTCAAAGTTTTCAATGTCAAAATCCACCTTGAGTTCTCAACAATAAGATTTTCATCCTCAAATCCTAACTCGTTTCGACGCTTTACAGCCAATCTACGGACTTCGGCATCTTTCAGTAATAAAACAGTGCGATTTACTCTTACTCTAGTCCTTCATTGCACACGTAGCACATTACCTTTCCCGAATTGCCATTTTTACAAGAAAGGTGACGAAAAAGACAATTCGCTTTATTGACAGGGTCACTGTTTTGGTTTCCATGGTTACCAAGTGAAAAATGACATATGAAAAAACTATTTTCATTGCTTTCCTTTCCATGGCTGTTCGGATTTTTCAAACAAATCACCAAGTGTATGTATACCTAATAACTAAACACTTAAACCCTAGGCCAAGGGATCATGAGGCAAAAAGTTTTTAGCATAAGCGTAGCGAGAACTGGAATTCATTGAGATAGAAAGTCACTTTTATCACAAAACGTAGGTACCTGAGTACCTACAAGTACACAATTTTTCACACTTTTGAACATTTTTGGTCATTACCTAACTCATTTAGCTTAGCCATAGAGGTTGAGCGCCCCTGGTATATAAAGGAAGAGTTACGAACACCTACTAAACATTTTTAGTTAAGGAAAGATGAAATAAACAACTTTTAAAGCAATACATGCAAGTTTTTTTGCTTTATGTACACTTTATATAGGTACTTAGGTTGCCTAAGGTAGTATTAGAAAGCCACCTGTATATCCGAAACTAGTCATAGGATCGGTTTGTACCCATGAGAACTTTTACTCAGCAGGTCGAAATATACAACATACCAAAATTTGGTTAAATTCTGCGTTCAACCAAAATCCCATAAGAAGTGCGCTGGGTCCTTTATGTGTGTCTGATAAAAGAAAGACTTTCTGAAAACAACTAAAACAACATCTCTTATATACCTAATTTCAGCTAAACGAAAGTTGAGCTCATAAATAATCAGCCCAAGAACCCTGTTCGTAACTACCAAATTTTATTTTCAACAAAGTGTCCCGTTCCCTTTCCAACCCCCAATAAGGATTTAAAAACGCAGTTCTGAATTCCTCAAAGTCTTTGAACTTTTTAATTTCGACCCAGTCCAAAGCTGAACCGCGCATACAATTACTCGCGAAGTGCAACCGCATAAACACCAACCGGATGTAACGTAGGTACTACCTGGGGAAAAAAAAAAGATTTGTATCCCCTAAATCTTTCCAAATTGTTATACAAGCTCTACTCCTCTCGGGACCATCACCCTCAACCCTAACAGATAAAGAATACCTAGCTTCGTCCTGCTGGCTTGTACATCCAGCCCTATAGTTGCTCTGGCCCTGCTTAACTAAAACATCGCTCTGCAACCTAGCAAAATTTTCGATTAAGTTCTTATTAAGAGTCTGATTTATTTCCTCGAAACAACTTGACAATGTGGCTGTCAAATTCTTACCTAAATCTATGACCTAAATTCAGCATGAGTTTTTCCGAAGGTTCAATATTACCTGACGCTGCTGCTGTGGCCCATTGTTTCCGTTCCTGATCAAAGTTTTCGGAAAAAAAACAGCAGAACCGTCCAAAACGTGATTTCGTTTTTTATTTTTACCTTTTCTTGGAGGCATTTTTCTCAGATCTGACTACAAAATATTCAACTAAATGAACTACAAATAGCCAACATTAAATGTTATCGAAAATACCACTACATCAATCCAGAAAACCTTATCCGACCTGAGAACATTTTATTGCCCCACGTTGGGCGCCAAATGAACTAGGTGCTTCAAATCGGATATTTTATTGACTCACACTGATATATTAAATTCAAATAAAATATTGGAGCAAAAAAAAACCATCTATATCTAAAACCTAATCTACGAACTAACGCTAACTCAATGATATGCCGATGTATCGAACTCTAAAGTACGTAGTCAATGAAAGTTCAATTAGCCGCAGCATGAGTACAGTAGTACTCCCAAACTTGTGAGGGCCGTCGCTCTTCACCTGTCAAGGCCCCTTCCTCCTCCACCTTACACCTTCTTTGAAAACGTCCAGTGGACGGATCTTGCTATATTTGACAATTCTTCTGATTGCAAAAATCCAGTCAACAGCAAAATGCACCCGAAGCGATCTTCCAGTGAAGCACCTCTTCAAAGGTGACGAAGGTGACAGATTCTCTCCTATTTTCTGACAACTGTCACAAACACTCTCTCCTTACCAACTAATTGCCATGTGCTAAACAGTGGCGTGGTACAATCCCAAATTCCAAATATTTTATATCAACTATTAACCACTACATTTCTTGATAACTCTTTCGATTTTTCTGTTGCGTCTTCTCAGATCATCTTTAATTTATTTATTTACTGTTTTATTGATCCCCAAACACTCAACCTTTATCCTTGGATATCATGAGGTCTCGTTTTTCTACCATTAAATTTTTTGTCGAAGTCGAAGTGCCTCGACTTGAATTTATTACAATTTCCTATATTTGACCAAAAAATGTTGGGTGTGATGAAAAACATAACGTCTTTTGATCATTTAGTACAAATAATGATCAAAGAATTACTTCAAGTGTGCGTTGAAAATTTGTTGGGCATTCAAAAAAAGTATTCTTATTAGCATATAATCCTGAAGTTGAACCAAAAAGAAGGATAGAATAATTTGGAAAGCCATTGCCCTTGAATCAAGCAAGCATTAAGCTGAAAAATGTTTTATCTGAAGCCAATATCCTGAAAAAGTTTTGCCTATTAATTACAATTAACTTTGTAGTACCAGGGAACGTAAAAAAAAACAAATTGCGTTAAACTTATTCAACCGCCGAAACTCTTTAGGCCTAATCCAGCACGCATCTTTAATAATCCCGCCGGTGTCTACGAGAATAACTAAGAAAAGAATAAAAGGGAACATGTTTGTTTACCCCGCTCGGATAAAGGATTATCTGGACAGAAACGAAATAAATCACACTCCGGGAGTGCGGATCCCGTCGCTGCACGTACTAGCGATTAGATGCTAATCCGTGGCCATTGGCGATCCCCTATAAAACCGGACCAGTCGACACCAAGATCTTCAGAAACTGTTCAGCATCCAAATTTGAGTCATGACCAGGATAAGTGTTGTAAATAGTTTTGTATTGTTGCTGGTCTTTTTCTATTGTGGTAAGTTTTCTCGTAAACAATTTTTTCAAATAAAGATTCTTAGGCTATTTTGTAAAGGGCTAATTAATAATTATATGCACCAAAGTGTGTATTTAAATGTTTCCACAAATTAGGTATATTGACACCCCACTTTCTGATGATTAAAATTAAATTTGAATCTTGAAAGTGTAAAATGTTGCATGCTTTTTTCAAATATGGAATATGCTCTATATTTGGTTTCATATTTTTGAAGAGCACAATATGGTAATAAAGGCTCAATTTTTTTTAATAAAGGACAATTTAGAATTCAGTCGATTAACCTTATACAGTTTGTGCGGAATAACTTGGAGTAGGTACATGGGGATTTTGGAAACCATTGCTGATCAAATGGAGAAAAATTCCGCAATCAAGCAACAAATAATCTGTCATAAACTTCTTTGAGCGATGAATATACAGGGCGAAAAAGAAAAAAGTGCACTTTATAAAGTCCTTGTATTGTATATCAAATGTATATTACATCTACATAGTTCTACACCGACCCTGGAAATTTCTTGATTGTATCTTTTGTAACAAACCACATACATATAAAGGATTTTATGAAACGCACTTTTTTCTTTTTTGCCCTGTAGCTATTCCGAGTTCAAAGAAGTTTATTTTTTGTAGGCACTTGATTGCGCAACTTTTTTCCCATTTGGTTCACCTTGTATCTTTAATGGTTTCCAAAATTCCAATGTAGGTACTTCAAGTTATTCCGAACACCTTGTATACCTAGTGACTTTTGGTGTGCAAACTATTTTCTTTTCCTAGCAACTCTAGAAGCAGAGTCATTTGATTCTCCGAATGATCGAGGACATAGAGAAGCCTCACCAATGTGGTTTGGGCCTCGCATTGGTAGGAAAAAGCGCAATGACATTAACAAGGTCTACAGAAACGAAAAAGAACAATCACTCTTGGATGTTTTAAGAGAATCTCCTTTAGTGGTTGTTGCCGTAAACGAAGGTAGTTCTTGAATTTCCAATTTATTAAAATATTTAAAAAAAAAGAAGAATCTGAAATTTCAGCAAACAAACAACACAATTTTACTCCAAGATTGGGAAGAGAATCGGGAGAAACCGCCCCTAACTGGTTGGACGGGGCGGAGTTAGTCGACGCAGATCAGCTTTCTCCCAGGCCCTCCAATCCTTTTTCTCCAAGGCTAGGAAGGACCAACTACAATCCTTTTTCTCCAAGGCTGGGGAGAGAAAGTGATGTTCCTCTTCAGTAACACGTTAACTTATAACCCGTTTGCTTTATATAACATTTATGAAAAGATTACCTATTATACTAACAAAAAAATAAAGCTAGACAATAGCTTTCACTTGCAATTTATAATGTTTTATTAAATATTTGAAATTAAGATTTTTGTGTTTTTTTTTTTGCATAAATATGGGTACGTATACAACCTCATCAAGCAACGTAGTAAGGAAAACCACCCATTTAAAATATTATTTCTTTGAATCTTAACTTTTTAAAAAAAAGTTTACTATAGAAAAAAAATAAATGTTGCAACCATGTATGCGCCGTCAAGTTTAGGGTTGAACGGGGGCGCGCGACAGAAAACGAAAGTACCAAAACCGAAGAGGAGAAAGGAAAAGAATGAAATACTAGACTAGAGAGAAGACGCTTGTCTGCCATTGTTCATTATTCAATTTTTATTTTTATTTTGTATTAAACTGATTGTTCAATCCAATTTGTGATTAGTTTGTGTGTCAAAAGGAGCATTCACAGGTCAGTTGAATAATTGTTATTTTGTTTTTAAGAATTCAATTTATACAAGTATTTTTTTTCCATTTTTATGTATTTTTTGTTTGTTTATAAAATTCTTTATAGCATGTGCATTGTTCATGTATTTAACAAAAATCGTTTCATGCTGTGATAAACAATAAATTCAAGCCTAGAAAAATTATGGGATTTCTTTTGTTCTGGGATTTTTATTTTTGGGATCCGAACGTGCATTAGGGCCTTGTTGAATTTACTAACATTTTCCTACCCTGACGAGCGAATATCCTAGCAAACTAATTGAAAAATCAATCTAGAGATATTGGCTCAAAAATAACTATAGCTGAGTAGCCTCCCGTATGAGACCTCAGTACCTGCTGGTGAAACTGGCTAACAAAAACCCTTCAGTATTGAATATATGTTGATTGAATGTGGTGTGTGGAATTAAAATTTCAGCACAAGAATAGGGACGGTACGGTACCTAATTTAAACTTTCATCATTGACTTAAATTAATGATTAATGACTCACAATTATCATTAAAATGACACAGTATGTTTTGATTTTTGAGGAATGTTCGATTGAGGGTTTCTCTTGCCCCTCAAGAATTCCAGGTCGAGAGCGGTACGATTTACTTTAATAATGAAGTAGACGTTTCACAAATTTTTCCTTGCTTTTACATATCACAGCTTCCCTTAAATTTCCCAAATATTTGCTATGTCGAGCGCATGACCAGTAAGTAAATTTGATTAAGTTTCTATAACGTAGGTCCTATTTGCTTTTCATTTCGTTTTTCAGAAGATTGGTTGTTTAAATCAATCAATTCAATCTCACTGAATGAACCCTGGGTTGTTATACTACAGTAGATTTCAACACAAAAGGACCAAAACCCGAAAAGCGATGGAAACCGACAAAAATTATGAATTTCTTTGCCTCAACACATCAATGGGCTCTTTCACTTTCCACAAAAATTTAAATAAGTATAAGCATAAAATCTTAAATAAGGTACTATTTTAGGCATATTTGCGAAAAAAAAAAGATCTACGAGCTTAAATGACTTTTCTACAGTCACTTCAAAAGTGTGGAAATTTAAAATCCTTGAAGTGCACCAGACGATGACGTATAATCGGTATAATCATTCTAGGATTCTACATACAATGATTCTACCAATCAAATTTTAGAAGAATCGACAAAGCACGAATAGTTGTTCCGGTGGTGGGTTGAACTTTTGATTGCGCTGTTGCCAGTTGTAACTAAGTGTAGTGAGTCGTGAGAAAAAAATTATTACAAAAATACATTTAAATTGTGTAAACCATAAATGTGGATAAAGGCCAACCAAGAAAAGTTAAAAACCAAGAAAAATTTAACTTATTTCTAACAGAAGTCAAATAAAAAATCCTAAATTAAAAGGCATTATAAAGGTAGGTAGGTAATGTTCGCCTTACGAGTCTAGGAAAGAATGCGGATAAAAAAATTACAATATTGCCTATTTGAGTTCCAATAGAAAATACCTCAATATTTATCTATGCTACACACCTAAATTTATAATGAAAAAGTAATATATGAAAACGCTGCGCCCACGCCTATGACAGGCCGCATAAAGCTCGAAATTGATGGCGTTATTCCCCCTTGCCCTTCAGACGTCGTAGTGCTAGACTCATAAGGCGAACTATAGGTAGGTAGATATACAGTGTGTCCGTGAAGTAACGGATAAATTCATTTAAAATTCATGTCTTTTTTTTTTTTTGAACACGTCGATCTTAATTTTTAGTGGCGATGTTTTTAAGCTAATTTATATATATACAAGGTGACCCAAAACAGAGATATGACATGCCACTTCATTTTTTTAAAATAAAATGCCCTGTATATTTTGATGAATATCGATAGGGCGAGCATTCATCTCGATGCATTCTATCGATATTCATCGCGCCGCTAAAAATTAAGACTGACGTGTCCGAGCATTTTTCCAAAAAAAATATGCATAAATTTTAAATGAATTTATATATATACATATGTCATTTTAGAACGTTTTTCTTCGTTGTCCGACACTTAATTTCCATCCTCTTCTATCGTCGCAATCCTCTGATGAGAGATTTCTTTCACTCATGGACTTTTGCATGGTCTTCTGCCATTCCAGTTTTGGTCTTCCCCGTTTTCTTCTACTTACCTGTTGGTTGCCAATGCAGCATTTTTCTGGGCCACCTGTCATTTGGCATTCGTTCTACGTGTCCGTACCAGGTAAGTTGTTTCTTTTCAATGTCCTGGACTATGGTGCCTTCTATGGCGATTTGTTGAGAGATTTCTTTCACTCATGGACTTTTGCATGGTCTTCTGCCATTCCAGTTTTGGTCTTCCTCGTTTTCTTCTACTTACCTGTTGGTTGCCAATGCAGCATTTTTCTGGGCCACCTGTCATTTGGCATTCGTTCTACGTGTCCGTACTAGGTAAGTTGTTTCTTTTCAATGTCCTGGACTATGGTGCCTTCTATGGCCATTTGTTGTTTTATATTGTCCTTCCTTATTCTGTCCCTTCGTGAGATTCGCATGGATCTTCTAATAGCATCCATTTCAACTGCTTCCACTTTTTTCTTTTGTCTGTCTGTAATTTTCCAAGTCTCGGCTCCTTATAGAAAGCTGCTCTTTATCATTGTCTCGTATATAGTATATATTGAATTTTCTCTTCTTTGTTATTTCCTTGCTCCACAATATTCTATTTAGGCATCCTATTACTTTTTTATGTGATACCTAGATACTCATAGTCTTGACATTGCAGAATTTCCTGACCATCGTCCACTTCCAAGTTTCCGTTCTGGTTGCCTACACATAGATATTTTGTTTTATTTACACTCTCACAAATGTGAGGTGGGTTTCCAAATATCTAGCAGATCCCTTTTCTATGACTTGTTTTAGGCAAAATACGTTGTCCGTACCTGATCTCACATACTCTCAACAAATGTGAGGTGGGTTTCCAAATATCTAGCAGATCTCTTTTCTATGACTTGTTTCAGGCTAAATACGTTGTCCGTACCTGATCTTCCTGCTCTAAAGCCGCACTGCTCTTCTTCTTCTTGCTCTTTATAATCTTCTTCAATGAGATCACGCAGGATTCTACCGTATAGTCTGCTTAGTGTACTTGTGACTGATATGCCCCGATAGTTATTGCAATCCAGCTTATTTCCTTTTTTTTGAATGGATGATATAAAAGCCGTTCTCCAGTCTTGTGGAACAGGATGTCCATTTAGGCATTTATTGATAATACATGTGAGACCTTTAAAGAGCTTCTCAGTTCCCCATTTCAGCATTTCTGACTATATACTTTTTGGGCCGCTACCTTTACCTGACTTAAGATTCTTAACAGTCTTTTTTACTGTTTCTTCAGATATCTCAACTACTTCTCCATGTACATCAATATGTCTTAGAGAATCTAATATATATTCCGATCTACTTTCTTGTAATAGACCCTTGTGATGTTCTATCCATTGCTCTGGTTTAATAATCTGGATATTAGCTCTGTCCTTTCCTGGGTTTTTGACATTTGATATAAATCTCCATACCTCTGAGCATTTCCTTCCTCCTATGTAGGTGTTAATTTCTTCACATTTCTTATCCCATGACTCGTTCTTAACTATAGTGATGCACGTCCTTAGTTGTCTTTTTGTGCCTTTATAAACTTCAAGGTCTTGTTGATTTTTTGTTGTTAGCAATTTCAGATATTTTTGCTTCTTCTCTTGGACTAAAAGCTCTATATCCTCGTTCCACCAGTATTTCTTGTTGGTATTTTTTTCCTTCGTTCCTATTGCTTCTTGGGTGGCTTCTATTAAACTCCTTATAATGTTCTCATAGGGTTTATTGAAGGTACATTCTTCAGGGTTCAATAGTTTGCTATCGAGTCGACTCTGATATAGAAATCTGTCATCTCTAAAACTGTCAAAATTGTAATTTGTTGTATCCACTGTGTCCGTTAGTATGGCATTGGTGTTTTGTTCCTCTGGTTTCTTGTTTGTTTTCCTAAATTGCAACTTTATTTTGGCTCTTTCTAAAAAATGATCCGACCCGCAAGTTATTCCTCTTAGGACTCCTACGTCGTTTATCTCTATGTTTATTTTTTGTTTGCTTATCACATAGTCAATAATAGTTTTCAGGTTACGGGTATTCTGTATCCATGTGTAGCGGTGAATATCTTTGTGTTTGAAAAATCCATTGTTTATTCTAAGATTGTGGGTCTCACAGAAATGTATGAGCCTTTGACCATTATCATTGATTATTCCTTCTCCAAATGGTCCTACAACTGGGCTATTGTTCGTCCTTCCCGTTCTTTCCATTGAAATCCCCTAGCATTATGATTTCTCTATTTCTTTCAATATCTAAGTACTAGGACTTCATCCAATTTGTCAAAGAACTCCTGCTTAATGCCGACTTTTTCGTCCTCTGATGGAGCGTAGGCTGCTATAATGGTGATGTTATAGCCATGTAGTTTCAAGTTGACCGTCTTTCCTTATCAATATAAGTTGACTGTCTTTCCTTATCAATATAGATACCCTCTAGCTGCTCTCATGTCCTTTGAAACTCCAGTAAAAAGGTGAATATATTCTCCAACATTTTCGGTGCCACTTCCTTTTTTCTTGGTTTCGGTTAGTGCTACTAAATCGATGTCAATTTCTGATGCAGTGATATCCGTTTTCAGTCTAATACCCTGCACATTCCACGTAGCGAGATTCATAGTCCATTTTCTTTGCCGTGTTCGTCGTCTTGGTGATCCGTCCAATGTTCCGAGGCTTCGCTTAGGTTTTTTGGTAGTTTTGTATTTTTCCGAGTATTAGAGAACCAGTCCAATACCTCAACCACCATCCTGGAGGACCGGGTCAGTTTTTGTTTCACAGTGGTTATTTTATTTTCCCACCACCCTCTGAATCTGTTGGATTACAGACTCAGCGAGCTTTTCCTAATTCCCATAGGGACGCCCCGATGGAGGTAACTGACCAATCCCCACATGGGTTAAATGAATTTATCCATTACTTTATGGACACAGTGTATAATTAGTACGTTACAAATCGCGATAGGTATACCTTATAGATCATGAGATAGGGACTTTTTAGTGGAGTAATTTTTTTTTTGTCTGGCTTTTTGAGAGCTGGATGTGGCTAGTTAGCTGATGAGAATATAAGTGGTTTCAATGCCTGCTCCCCGTTGGAAATTTCCACAGAATTTTTCGCGGAAAACTCGATTTCGAACTGTGATTACCGTCTGGCGATTTTCCAGCGTTTTTTCCCAACAAAACCTTTTATTCTTATTCTCTCGATTGCCAGACAGAAAGTAAATGCGAATGCGGAATACTTTCCCTTGTAAGTTGACATTCATCCCCACTTTTTCAGTCATTGAAACATCTGGGTATTTTTTATGGGTGAATTATTTATCAATGTCAATTTTTCATTCAAAAGCCAGACATTTAAGAAAATGCTCTATGTAATTTTTTTTTTTCTTCTCCAAATTTTTGAACGCGGAGCAGGCATTAATATCACCCATATTCGCATCAACTAACTAGCCACATTCAGCCCTCAAAATGAAAAAAAAAAAAGACTCGACTACACAGTCCCTATCTCAGAGTCTATCACGAATAGAGGGAAAGTTAGAAAGGAAATTCTTTCGACTTCGACGATAAACTAAGCAAACTCAAGAATCAATATATGATAGGGCAACCTCAGAATCAAATTGAAATCAACTTCAAATAATTATGCGGTACGGTAAAGAACATCTAGCTAACAAAAATCTAAGTGAAGTAAGGGTAGAATGGGAAGATAGCGTATTTGCTTACTTCTACTACTGAGAATCAAAGCGAAGATGAGATAAAAAAGTGAATGCCGATAAAGCCAAACCTAAACCAAATGATAAAATAAGGAGAGTTATACAGGAAAGAGCAGCAGGAACAAAATTTGAAACAATAATAAAGAAAAAAGTGCACTTTTCCCGAGACTTTTTCCTTTCCGATAAACTAAGAATCTGCCTGGATTATTATTGCACATGGTAAACAAAAATAAATAAAGAAAGCTTTTTCAAGATAGGCTTTGACAAATAAGTAAGTACACAGCATGATATTCATAGAAAATCACTAGGTAATTATTATAATTTTTTTTTTCAAATAATGAATCACTCTAATCCCCGAGCGTTTCTTGGGTAGTCACATTCTACTAAGCTCCTTCTTTACTCATCGCCTCCCGGATGTCAATTCTTATTCTTGTCATTCTCCAACGACGAAAAATAAAAATGTATTACTTTTTTTTAACGCGGGAAATGAATTTTTGCTTTTTTACTTTTGGTTATTTGATTGAGTTTGTAGCAAATGTGTGAGTCATCTTGAGATAAAATTAGCCTAGTATTAATCTAAGTTTAATGACTGTCGTACAATTGGAATTGGAAATTAATTCAAGTATAAAATATGTCTATCTGAAAAGAATAATGGCATTGAATTGTAATGCGACTTCAATTATTGCTTTATCATTGTGTATTACAATATGAAGATTAACAACTTCCCCAAATTAGAAATACCGATTCGATGCCAGAATCGTATAGCTATTTTCTTATTGGCTAAAAGTTTCTTATAAATCAGCCTCTCACATTTTTTAGAGCTGGGTTTTTATGAAATAGAACATAACTTGAATAGATTAATCCACTTGTTTTTGAGGAGCAGCTGTAAGAACTTGGGTTTCCAGATACCATCACCATCTATTACAATAACCTTGGAAATTATCTTAAATTCTAATAAATTATTACACAATTAAGAAACGATATCGATATTAAATGTAAAAGTTAAGGCTCCAGGGATGACCTTGCTGGAATATTCGAGAATGGAATGTAACCTTGATAGAATAACCCTCGGAATAACCTAGAAAATTACCGAATTATCACGATTCCTGAATTTATCTTGAAAATAACGGAAACACTGCCAATACCAATCCACGATCATTCATACCGATAATTTCCACAAGCTGTACACAAATTTAGAGCTTCTACATATCTCACCTATTCCTTCCTCTATGTCCTCATTACTGTTAATTGATATGTACATACCTACTTATATTGAATAATTTATTCCTTCTCACAAATATTTTGATCTTGCTGGGCTGTTCGGTTAATCCTCTGCGAACTAAAAAATGACAGTGTTGGCAGAGGCCCATGTGAAGCGATTTGAAGTTTCAGAATTGATCACGTGGACCTGCCATCTTTTTGCTCGCTGAGAGCTAACCGAACTTCACTATAACTTCATCGATGAACTTCTGCATCCGAATACACTTTTCTCTTTACTTTTTCAGGAGAATTAATTTACCTTATAGTACCAAAAAGTAACTGCTCAAGGAGTGACGTATTGGAACACACCTCATTATTCCTCTTCAGTAAATGAAAGATATCCCTAATCAATAATAAAATTAATAAGAAACTGTCATTTCAATGTTCAACTACGCCTGCTCCATTAAGGAAACTTCGAACCCTCTAAACTGAAAAAAGCTGTAAGCTTATGAACTTAAGATTCTTATGAATATAACGAAAAATAACCAGTAAAGACAGACAAATTGATCACTATTCCGATTCCGCCAAAATCTCTATGAGAAATCCTGATTCACGTTCGGAGCATATTTCACTAAACCCACTTATCTATCAGTTTAAATTTAGCACCGCGACGTACAGCGCCGATTTTCGACGCCCGCGACGTACTTCCAACAAAACTTTTCAGTCTACCTTGTCCAAAATTTCTGAAATCTTGGTAAATTCTTCTCAAACATGTACTGGTTCTATGTGGATTACAGTGACGAGGTGATTTATTGTGGTAGTGGTGGTCGGTGATTTTTTTAGACAGTTAACAATGGTAAGTTATACGTTAGGGTTTTTCATGAATTAGATTTAAATGAATGACTGCTAGATTAAGAGAGTCAAGTAGGCAGTGTTATATACATTTCTATTAATAAATTCGGTTTGAATATCGTAACGTAAAACCAATAGACATTCGAATGGGAACGACATTTCGGAAATCGGGAAAACCGAATGAAATCATTTAAATGGGTCAAGGATTTAAGATAGAGCCATTTTAATTTATGTTTCTTAAATATCTTTTGTTTTAAAGTAAGTACCTACCTATTACCTGTCAATGGTTAAATTCACGCAAGAATACTTATCTAAATAAATAGAAAGTTAAAAAATAATTGGTCTATTTTCAATTACCTATTTGTAATTTATCGCAAAGTTTCGGATTGTGTTATTGGATGAAGTGTGCCTCTTCTTGATTTTTTTTAAGTAACGACCTTAGCTGCCAGCTATACAAGAATTAGAACGTTGACAAGGCAAGTCGGCAAGACAGGGATAAAATATGTAAAGATCGTTCCACGAGGGTTTAACTTTTGACATCGAAGACGTTATAACTTAAAAAAAAGGGTTAACGTAGATTAATTTATATGACACATTCAATTTTTTTGACAAATGAAAATGTTTAACTTCTGGTTTAAGAACCACGAACGTTTTTGATGTCATTCATTGATTTGTTTCAGTCAATTTTTATTTGTTAACAAATTATGTCAAAAGTATAAACCCTCGTGAAACAAAGTGTATGTCATTAGACTTGAAAACAGTTTCCACAACTCTTACCATATATCCAATCAATTCTTAACTCAAAAATGTATGAAGGTATTTTATTGTATTGTGTATGGAAAAATGAACTTGAAATTTTGGTCCAATAAAGGTGGCTCAAAGAAAATTATTTGCGTTTCGGAAATGACCAATGACATATTAACACAGATAGACATTACAGTAAACAAAATTTTGTGTCGCCAACATCTAGCAGAGCAATCCACCCCCCCCCCCCCCCAATTTGGTTGCCAAATTGTTACGGATTGATATTTTATCCTGTTATGACTTTGCTTCAAAAAGTTGGAGCTTCAAGAATAAAAACGACTACTGACAACTCCGGTTTTGTAAGACAGGCGGAACACACGTAACACACGCTGCAATCGATTGGCATGTCAACGCGCCTATCAAACTTTACATCATATGAGTTAGAGGCAGACAGATAGATGAACGAGTTGCACCAGTGCGCATTTCTTGATTATTTTGATCGAGTGAATGACGGGTTCAGAGGGGAATACGGGTATTGTTTACACCATTGAGGTTCACACCCACGATGCATCCCTACCATGACCCCCTCGAGCAGCTCACCTCTCCTGGCCCATGGGGGGTCTTGTTATCACAACAAATATTAGTTTATGAATAAGATGCGGTATCTATCTGTGTTAAGATGTCAGCGGAAATGACTGCTAAGGAATACCTATATGAGAAAAATTAAAACATTTGGAAAAAAAAAAACTTTCGATATTTCGTTATACCAACCTAATACCCGTATTATATCTGTGTATTTTCCGTGTATTTATTCATGTAGTTCAGGATGCCAACATTATTTTGTTTTTCATTATGCTGATTTATGTTGCGTTTAACGTTTTTTGGTCGTCACCATGCACTACATGAATTAATACACGGAAAAATACAAATACACAGTAAAACTCTCTTTACTAAAAACAACAACTTTTATTGAACTAATTGACACAGAGCTCATTAATCACTGGCAAAAACAATCAATCGAGAATTCTCGAGAATCACGCAAATACTTGTTTCTTCAAGTCACTCAAAGTGATTCCTGAATAGTAATTATATTGGGTTTGTTCCAAAACGTCAAAAAGCCGTCCCTTGAACGTGTTCGAAACCACTCAGCATATGAATTTCGGATTCTACGCCAAAATTTTGGGTTTTGCGCAGAATCGTGACGGTACATTGTACGGTTTTCTGGTGTGTTGGAAGAAAGCTATTATCAAACTCATATTATGTTAATTAGATCAATTGTTTATTCAAACTTAAAATGTAAACTTACAATGAGAAATCCCTTCCTATGCAGTTGTTGTCTATCCAGAAACTGCTTCGTTAACGCTATTTCAATTTAAAGGAACGCTGCAACGCCATTAGTTAGGTAGCTTTTGGTTTCGAGTATCACTTGTAGCAACTTTGCTCAGTATTTCTTATGTTACCTTAAGCCGCGTACTACAGACCAAATTTCCAACGCTAGCCAACCGCACATTGGAACGCATTAGCTTTGGTGTGTACGGCGGTGTGGACGATCTTCTCAAATCTGATTTTCACTGCTTTCCAATTCCAACGCCAACGACAGCATGTGCCGTTGGCGTTGATCTACGTTGGAAATTCGGTCTGTACGCGGCTTTAGATTTTAATAAAATAGTTTTTTAAAATCTCAAGTCTCTGATTTGGAAACTTATTTTACTCGCGCGCGAGTTTATAAACAGCGGCGCCAGCCTAAAATCCTTTATCTCTGGTGAACTCCATTCTTTCAGGTTACCATAGCCTCCGCACACCAAAGGTCTGTTCTCACAGGAGTCTCTGACAGTTTGCAACCTGTCAGAAATAATCGCTCAGTTAAGTTACCGATGTATCTTGGAACGACGGCATTGAAAACATATATGGGCGATGCTTACTGATAGTTTACAAACTGCTAGAGACTCTTGTGAGAACAGACATCAAGTCACAGGGTGAACGAAGCTCTTTTCCAAAGGACACCTTAGCTGGTGTAACTGCTGTTGCATCATGTACAGCTGACCTGTTATTCTTCGATCGTCTTCTTGAACGATGGCATCTCATTGTGGATACAATGCTGTGGTTCTGGTCTTGTGAATGCCTAGCAGCCAATGTGATTCCAAACCTAGTAAAAACATTTTTAACGCAACTGTAGAAGTTTCATGATTTGAAATAGCGAAAGCATCGCTACTTGCTGAAATACTGCATAGCAACCAAGATGTACTTATTTGTTGAAACTGTGCGCGGCCGTCGCAGGAAATGAACCATCTATTGCGATTCGTTCGGAGAGTATCCCTATGTTGAACTCTTACATATAGATACCATAGATCGTGTTTTAGAACCTTGCTGATGTCTATTGTCGGCACCATGTCTTACCATCCTCCTGGTCACTGGTAATAGTTAACCTAGTAAAATCGGTCATGAATCAGGTCTTGTTTCCACGTGAGCTTCAAATGTCCCATTATGTGAGCTTTGATGAGCATGATGACCTTACAATCTGCACTCTGCCAGGTACGTTTCATACGCCTTGAAAGTTGATCTTTTAGATGAGATTTTGTGCCAGGTTGCTCTTAAATTGACGGTTATTTTTAGGTTCAAAAATGGGTTCATGTCACTATCTCCTAATTCTAGTTAATCACTTCTTACCTGTTCAGACTTCTAACAGGATCTCCTCCATACTGATAGTAGGTAGTGCTTGCATTGAGTTCGGCATTGTCGCCTTAATTAGGATTCATTATAATATTTAATGACCAATTCTTCTCCATCTTGTATTTGCTTAAGAACTGCCTCGATGCTCGTAATGCTCGCATTTGTGTCCAAGCTACCTTAAGCCCCTCAAAAGCTACGTCATAACCGGTAGTCCAATGAAAAGTAGCTTTTATTCCAGTAAGTGATGTTGGAATCTTTTTCAAATTATTTGTAGTATGTACGAGTCCCTGCTGAGTCTACTTGTCGAGGTTGAGGCCATTCACGAACTTGCTGTATTTTTTCCTCGTCAGTATGAATCCGATCGGGGCAAACTAAGTGGACAAGAATATTGACGAGCTGTTGGAAGAGTGAACATTTCTTTTTATTTAACCGCAGATTTGCCCTAAGGATACCATCAGCCTTCGAAAAATAGCGGAGGCTTCAATAGAGTCCACAAGTCCTCGTGGTTAAGGCTGTTTACTTCTTATCTATTTCCTGTCAATACCGAGAGCCACTTTCCAAGTTCGATTTGAGTAAGTCAAAGTCGTGAGGGCATCGTCCTTTCTGTAACTATATGCCTTCCTAAAGCCTAGTACTCATAACTGCAAAATTCGCATTTTTTTGACATTGCTTCGACAAATTGACGTTTTATGCGTGAATCAAACGTCAAATTGTCAAAGCAATGTCAAAAAAGTGCGAATTTCGCAGTTATGAGTACTAGGCTTTAGTGACATTGTTAGGCTTTCTGTAATCGATAGAAAAACTGACAGATTTGCCCTTCTTGGTAACTGTGGTTGACGGATTGGATCGGCACTGCCAGTATTACTTTAATTTTTCATGCTTAAAATGATGTTCGTCTTACCAGTTTCGTCATCTGCACCTTCAAAAAAATTCTGGTCCTCTGAGCCCTCTCCAACTGCGTAGAGGAAATATTTGGCAATGGCGACGTGGCGACGCACTGAAATTTAGCCGCCTCCCGAAAATTAAATTTTGAAAGAGACAGCAACGTTGTATAACAGGATGCCTATTCTTGAAATCGGGGCACAGCGTTCTCACGAGAAAGAACGATATTGCTTTGTTTTTGTCAGTGTTATGGAAATAAAAATATGGGCAACTAAGACAGAACGGTTATCTCCTGTTTCGACAATAAAGGCCTTGTAGGGAATCCAGGGCTGGAATCATGACAAGTAGAATTCCACTTTCATGACGTCATTCGCGACACATTTATCGCGTACAGTACAGGCGACAATGAACTAAACAAACACACTGGAACGGTGGCTGCATAATGTTCCCTATGCAGGGGTTTGTGCCAGGAAGATCAACAAACAAGTGGGATTTGCATCTCTCTCTGCACTATGGCGGCTATTGAGAACAGCTGTTTGAAGCAATGAACTATAACCAAAAACTGGAATGCTAACACATAAACATAAGGACGAACTTGAAGCCTAGTGCGGCTGCTGCGGAGGGGATACCTGTTTTTGTCGCACTCATTATGTTAAATGGCAAAAATTGCTTCCAACACGTATTCCAATTGATGAAACCTGTGAAGGAAAATATGACAAAACTTTCGAAAACGTCATATGTCAGCGAGCAACAGAAAAAAACAACATTCCCCCTTGTGGCATCTGTCTTTCATGGCTTCATTTTTTTGGCAGATATGGCAATGTGTGCGCATTCCAGTTTTTAGCTATAGTTCATTGGTTTGAAGTGTTTGGATCATTGAGGTTAGGAAGATGAAGAAGCTCTTCTTTCTTTTACGTTAATCGCAATGAGTGCGAGCCAGACAACAATCCCTCTGTATTGCTGGGTTGCATATATCAAAATTCGGCACACTAGCATAAAGCAGTGCGCCCGTTCCAGAGTGTTTGTTTACTTCAATGACAGGCGATAATGACAATTGTTAGGCAACCTGACGTCATAAAAGAGAAATTCTAATAGAATGTCGTGATCCCATCCCTGATGCACTCGACGCGATAATGCGGCAACCGCGGACGCGTTGACTTTAGGCGGCTTTTTTGCTATTAGGCAATTTTTCGCGAGGATAATCGAGCATAATCTGATTATGCTAGGTTATGTGATGTGTCAAATTCTGGGCCTGCGAGTGACGTCACTACTATCAGCCGCTTGTAGTGATGACGTCACCCGCAGACCTCGATGGAATGCTTGCTATTCAGGCTGTGCTAGTGTTAATTTTTTCGTCGATTTTAAATGAAGAAAAGGTGATTTTCGGTCTGTTCTCTCAGAAGAAATTAGGAGTTCTTGATCCTCGAGTATCCTAGAATTTGATGGTGGGGGATGAGTTAGGGGAGTATGACACAAATGACACATCATATAATCCAGCAAAAGATTATGCTTGGTTATCCTCGCAAAAAATTGCCTATTATCTTCCAGACTCAGATAATTTATGGTACTTGTCCGTGGAGTACGGACAGTATCAGTGCAGTGCGGTACTACTATGATGTATTTCTTTTTGTTTAGATAAAAAGTTCTTGAATTTTTATAAAAATGTTTTCGTTTAACTTGTTTTCTGTCTCATATGTTCTTGATAAACTTGTTTTTTGATTAAATTTATTTCTATATTTGGTTGTTAAAAACAAAAATATAAATAACTTCCGCACACTCACTTTACAGCCCAACACCACAAGAAAAATACCTTAAAAAAAGCATGACAGGGCCTCAAAAAAAAAAAATTGCGTCGGGCCCCAAAGGTCCTAGGTCCGCCACTGAACAGTTAGCACGAAGCACGGTGTGATAGATTCTTATATTTCTTAGTCTCAGGTTGACTTTTTTTTTACCATGGACATTGTGGTCCCTCGAATACTCGAGTCATTATACTTAGAATAAGTCCCCGTGAAAGTGACTCCGCATTAGTCTTCTCGGCAATATTAGAGTTTATTAGATAAAAGAATAAATCCAATCAAAGCAAATCAAAAAATTCGGATCTCTAGTGTTCATACTAAAGATCCGATAATTTTCGGATTTTCAATTTGTATATTAGGGGTCGGAAAATGCGGATCTTTAGTGGTAATATTGAAGATCCGAAAATAGATGTTTATTTCTAATTCTGTCTAATTAAGGAGTATCGCCGCAAGTATCTACAAAGAATAATATTCGAGATAAAGTCTGTTTCTGCAGAAATCACAAACCAGTCAGAGTGAATTTCATTGGTTGATACTAGTTTTCTGACTGTTTCTGACTGTTTTCAACCAATGAAATTTGCTCTGACTAATTTGTGATTTCTGCAGAAACAGACTTACTTATCTTGAATATTATTCTTTGTAGATATTTGCGACACCATTTTAATGAAACTAGCCCAAGAACCAAATACTACTGCACAAAACCAATTAGAAGAAAAAATAAAGAGTATTAAATTTCCTTTAAAACCCATAAAGGAAGACCCAAGGGACATAAATTAACTGCAATTGGACTAAAAAGGTCTAAGAAAAATAAAAGTGTTTTATTCAAAAATGAAGTTCCTAAACTGAGGCACCAGATAATGCTTAATGCAGTTTTAAATACAGATGATTTGGTAAGCATTACATCATAAAAACTTTAAAAATGAGAAATAAAACATTCCTCATGATCAACAAATTGATCCACTTCTTCTTGAAAAAGAAATATCTATAGCAGAAATAGAAGCATATTTTTGTCTGGATTCTTATATGTTTTATTACAAAAACGAATTGGAGAAAAACAAAATAGTATTCTAAAATGGATTTGTGATATATGTAACAAAGTGATACGTGAAGATTGCTTACGGTGTGATTCATGTCTTCGGTGTAAACATAAAGTGCGTTGTTCAGTAACAAAGCTGCCTTCTAGTAAGAAAGCCTGGTTTTGCATGCAGTGCAGAAGGAACTAAATCACACCTCACACCTCTTACCCTATTAACCCTTAAAATGAAGAAATATTTATTTTTAATTATGTAATGTTTTAAAAAAATAAAAAGGTAGGTACTTAGTTTTGTTTTTTGTACTTTTCTGTTGAAATTGCACCAACCAAATATTTTCGAGTAAACTTGATTAGCTATTCTACATAAAAAGGATTAGAGGATCAATTTTTTCTAGTATAAATCCTTAAAAATACAAGCATATATTAATGATACCATTGAAGACATGGCGATACGGTTTTTGACAATCGACGTTTCTGGAAAATCAATCCCATAACATCTAAGTCAATTTTCCTCTAGCTGGTCTCGAAGTATGTTTTTCCTGTCAAAACACTCCAAATTCCAGCACCCTGTACAAGCATGGCACAGTTAAAATTCTATGAAAAATGAATCAATACCTAGGGGCTCTTTTTTGTAAAATAAATATGGAGTTGAAACTTGTAGTATCTATTGCAACAGTCCCAAAATGCAATTGCATGAGTAGTGTGTGACTCCACACTCCACCAGAGAAAAATATGCGGCCCTGAGAGCTCGTAGCTCTAACTGCTCTGAGAGTACTCTAAGCATAACAGCTAGATAATAACCTACTAGAGAGTCCACAATGTGCTGCTTAAACTTGAGACTCTCGTCCACTGTAACGCCAAGAAACTAAGCACAGGCGGTGGGATGAATGAAATCCCCACATAAGGAGATATTGGATAATGAGAACTTGAAGTTTTAACATATTGGTCTTAAATATGTTGAAGAATAGATTGTTGCTGTCGCACCAGGTTTTTATTAAATCGAAATCGACATTAATCATGCGTTCCAAAAATTCTCCACAATCTCCACTGTTCACATGCCAGACAATGAGCGTGTCGTCAGCGAAAAGTCTATATCTACATACTTCCCCCGACCTTAAGAGATCATTAATATAGATCAAGAACAAAAGGGGGCCAAGGATAGAGCCCTGAGGGACACCGCAGTTGCTGTCCATTTTATATACGAAAACCCGCCCCTACATGAAATTATCTGCTGGCGATCACTTAACTACCTACTGAAATTGAAATAGACATACGACTGCGCCTGTGTCCACTGGTACGGTGATGTTTTTCATTTTTCTCATTATTTTTTCTTCAGTAGTTAAACTGTCTGCAGTCTGTCGTAGCATTTTTATGAATATGATTCTGGAGGCTTCACTTCGACTACCTTATACTCAGCGTAGTATGTTGGTGATGCAACTTTGATACAGGTTGCTTTAGGATTTGCGAAATTTTTTTTTGCCTCTGTTGTGTTCCAACCAATGAAGTAGTAAGAAGGTTGGAATAGCCCTTCGCCTATCTACTCAATACATATATTTGCGGCCAACATTAGAGTGAGAGAACAGGAGAGATCCATGAGATATTCTTGCCTTAACTAGCGCTATCTCACTCAGGGTTAGAAAGAGAGATATGGGAGATCCAATATATTTCTTGCCCTTACTAGCGCTATCTCATTCTGGATTCAATTGAATGACGCAAAGCTCATTCCATACCTCTTTTCTACTACATTGGTTCCAACCAACAGACGGCAGACGCTGGCTGTCCCAAATATCGGTACCCATTGACGCCATGGCAATTTTTGCTAAGTGCCCTATTGTTTTTTGTTTTTATTGTTCTACTGAAGCTTTTTTTCATCGAAACCGCCATTTATATATACAGCAGAGGCTAGTGTTTTCCATTACAGCAGGAGCCTGATGTTGATTTGAACTAAAAACAAAACATCCACTATACCATAACGCCAGCAACATTATTGTTTTTCTTCGGTACCAGAGCTATAATATTGTTTTCCTAAATCTGCAATCTGCCCCTATTTTGGTAGGTATTATCCTATTATTATTAATATATGTCATGACTAAAATAGATTAAAAAAAAAACGATTCTGAGGCTCTTAGTGATTGAATAAAGAGTTCCCGTCCGGGAGAAAACATAATTTTGTATTCCTGAGACGATAAGTAAAATAAGAAAATCCGCTGAACGCAGTTTAACTTATCTATTTCATATATCGCAACTATTAATCAGCTCGAACCATTCTTTGTGTTCTAGGCTGATGGCGCGCGTTACCCAAAAGAACGACCATGAGCGAACCAATCGCCGCCGCGACGTCCGAACAAAGTCCTGGCACCGATCCAAGATCGAAAAGGAACAGCGGCCTCTTCGCTTTCTTCAAATGGTTCAAACCTGGATCGCGCGAGTCCATCATCGCGGACGATTCGTCACGGTCCAGCAGTCTGGAAAGTGTCGCATCGGACAAGAGCTCGGGTACCGTCGCCAGTTTCCGATATGTGTCGCCGACTGTGTATGAGAACAAAGTAGTTCTGGAAAAACAGGTCCCTATTGGTTAGTATAATTTTGCGCGATGGTCAATTGATAAATTTCGGTTCAATGGCACGTGCGCGCATCTCTATCTTTACGTATAAATAACTTTTATTCACGACTTGTTTGTTATTTTATTTTTTGTAACGTCAGTTGCTTTGTTTATATCTAATCATGTTGATGGTTGAAAATTAATTACGATTTAATTAATGTGCAATGCTTTAATGCGCCTTATATTGGGTTTTTGTAGGTCCTGAAACTGACACATATAAAGCTCGTCTCAAACAAAGAGACAAACGGAGAGAAAATGACAAAAATGTGACCCTAAGGAAAAAATATAATTTATTTTTCAACAGAGAGACACTTCTGAGAACGCAAAAACCTCTGGAAGAAGATGAAAATTCGAAAAGTTTGCCACTGATGACTAGGGCGCATATTATGGAGGTTGAACCTCAAAAGGTTCATAGAAGGTAATTTTTCATGATCTAAATACATACTTAGAAAATAGAACTAATGATTTTGATTGCTTATGAGGTAACGAATAGAATTATTTTACTGCAGAGTTTACATTGATTTAATTTCTAGAATTTCATAATTCCTTATCAAAATAAGTTCCTATTACAGTTTTCCTGCCACTATGTAGATTTAGGTATACCTACAAAGTTACAGCTCTAGGTAAACTTTGGTTCTAGTTAGCTTGATGGGACTAAAAAGGTTCGAAAATTATAAATCAAAATTGTATTCAGCATTTCCTCCTGAATATTAAAATAAATTGCTTAAGACCCATGTTTCTATTTACTTTATTTTAATGAGTAGGTACTATTCATCCTAGAAGTTTGATCCCACAGGATCCCACTATTCAGAAACATCCTGTATAATAAAAAATATAAGGAGTAATGCCTAAAATACAACTAGGTACATACATTTAAATATACATCAGCAAAAGTGTCTTCTCATAATCGCTAAGGTTTTTCTTTCCTTTGTAGAACAAACAGTGAATCATCGAAAGTTAGACGAGCAGGCGCCTACCTACATGTTAAAGGCAAAAGAAAAGCTCCACAACCTCCGGGAGGCAACAAACTACCTCTAGATCCATCCTCAACAAACAGCCTCAAAAGAAAAAAACGCGTAGCACCAGCACCTCCTCCAAAACTCCAAATTACTGAAAACCAAGAAGAAGACGTTCTAGCAAATGATTATTTGAAACTGGACCATGGAGTGCTCAAGCCAGTGAAAGAAGATAACCGACCAAAGACGCCACAAGAAAATCTCCAAGCTCAAAACATGTATACACTTAGTCCGTCTTCTTCTAGAGGTAGTTTTGTGGAAGCGCCTGTGTCACCGAGGCCATGGTATAAAAGAAATTCTACGTCTAAGGAAATGTTGGCGAAGAAAGAGAATAAATATGAACCAATAGAGAGGTGAGTAGTTAACAAAAACATTCCCATCCAAGTCTATTCCGGGTTAAGGGTTAATAATTAAAAGGCAGATATCAGCATTTTTACTGGAAAATTCTTATAAAATCTCTAAAAAGTCTGGTTATTTTTTGCCATTGAAATTTGCTAATTTTTCCAACGAATTGCCCTATACAAGTTAACCTGCCTGAAAAAATTAAACTGTGATTAAATTCGTTCTAAATTTATATATGCTACTGAATCCTACGCTAATAATACCCGTAAGTATCATTAACGGCTTGGGTAGATATATTTAATTTGGAACGTCGGCCATTTAGTATCTAGTTTAATGCACTTCAATAAAGGTTGATACTAGTGAGAATAAAATGGATTGTTTCGCTCTCAGTAGTAAAAAAAGTAGGTAGGGAATTTACTTATTTCTTTTTTGTTTATCTTTTATATTAAAACAATTTAGGATCCAAGTTTTTTTTTTCATGCTTGAGCAGAGGCTAGTTTCCCTTAACATTTTTAATTAGGATCTCAGGAATTTAGAACGATCACTGTACTTAAATAAACTGCAATGGGCGAACTGTAAATGTCACCCTAAATATAATATTATTTCAATCACATTTACCTATCCTTGAACGTTCCTCATATATTTAGGACTTGTTTCTTTTGTTACAGATTACCTGAAGTCCAATACATGCGAAACTCAACGTTAGATCTGACCCTTGAAGATTCCCTACCCAATCCCAAAGACGAAAAGAGAAAAGAAGACAAACGTAAAAGCGGATTGTCCTTTCTAACGAACATTAGCGAATTGGACCGTGAAGCCTCAGAAATAATAAAAAATAAAGCCGAATATGAACGAATCATCAAAATCAACAATGAAATTCCTGAATTCATGAAACCCAGAGAAATCAAGTCCAATATTCCATCAACAACAACAACTGATAGCTGGGCATTACCTAAAAGACGTTCAGCTAGAGATTTGATTGCTAAATTTAATGCCATCACCAACGTCACAAAAGTTAGTGTGTTTGGTGTGTCTCAAAAAGACAAATATTTCGGTAAACAAACTAGCTTGGATGAAACGAAACAACGAAAACTTTTAGAAAGTCACAAAAAAAGAATCGAGGATATTGACAAGAAAAAAGAAGATAGATTTTCGCCTTTAATGAAGTCTGAGAGCGCTAGTGCTGTTAAATTGTCCATAAAAGAGTCCACTCCCAAAATGGAAAGAAAAAGTTGGAACTGTCCTAAATGTAATTTGGAAAATGAATACTGGAGAATTATTTGCCACGTTTGTTCAGCCATTAAACCATACTTTGATGATTTTTCTTCTTCAAGTAAAATAAACACTAATGATGCAGAACAAACAAAACCTTCCAGTCCAGTAGCATTGAAAAAAGATTTTTTAGCTCAAAATAATTTATTCGAAAGATCAAAAACACAAATCGGTTTTTCGGCTTTAGCTTGTTATAACGCAAATAATAAATTAAAATCAGAAACCTCTACAAGTAACCCGGAATCGAAAGTCGATGATACCAGTAAAAAAGAAGAAAGAGACAGACTGAAGAAAATGTTAATTGAAATGAAAAATTCTTTACCCAAAAGAAAAAGTAATATATTGATGAAGCAAAATAGTAGAACCAGTATAATTATGGAAAATCCTTATGATGATATTAATAAAGAAACCAAAGAGATTCCTCAAGAGAAGAAACAACAGGAGGAGGAAAACAAGCCAATAGAAAAAACCCAAGCGGAAAAAGTTGCAGAAATTCTAATAGGAACTCAGCAAACAATTTACGAAAACATAAAAGTGCGCAAAACCGAAAACCCGAAACCGCTAAAAGTGTGTTCGTCAGCTCAAACTAGTGCTGTCATGAGAAAATTAGTGCCAGAATCCAGTTTAAAAAAATTAATAGAAAATCACAAAGTCAACAACGCCTACGAACCAATGAAAGTGCAAGATTTCGAGGATATTTATTCGGACAAAAACGGCAAAAATGCCGCAAAGTTATACGCGAATTTAGCTCAAAACGACGAACTTTCTTTGTTTTTCAATGTTCCAAAATGTAACTTGGATAATAAATTAAGTGACATTAACGGTGAATCTAGGAAAAACATCAATACTGATACGATTGAAATTAACAGACTTTTGAGACGTTTAGAAAATGCTATTGGAAAAGGTGAATTGACGGAAGCTGCTATATTTGCTAAGGAATTGGCACAATTGAAAGTTAATTGTTCGGTAATTAGGCAAAAAGCTCAAGGGCAGAGTGGAGGAAAACATCAAGGATTTCAGTAAGTTATGTTATTTTTCTTATTATTATTTTTTTTCATTCAAAAGTCCGTTGTTTGAAAGTACTTTTTAAAATTTATTTTAGTTTTCAAAATAAGCTCTTCGAGAAACATCGCATTAGATTTCTCATTGAAATCAAAAATAGAAAAATATTTTTGCGTGTATATATTTTTCAATTTGTTATCGCTTATAGTTTGTAAACATTCACGAGAAAAATCAAAAGAAAATGCAATTAATTTTATTTTATTCCACTAGTCTAGGAAAATTGTCCTATATACCTACCCAAATGAATTTTTCAGGGATGATAGCGGGCGGGTGGGTGATCATAAAACCGAAAATATCAAACATTCACCCCTCTGGCGTTTTGCGCTATAGGGGTTGAAAGTGCACCATTGGCGATTACTTGGTACCTATTGATTTTACAAAAAAATGTTTTAAATAAAAGATGTGCAACATTATTTGATCTACAATATTTATCTGAAGAATTTTTTGATTAAGGGCCGTCTGTGGTCATAAGGGCCGTTTGAAATTTTATAATGAAAATGAAAAATTGGAACCAACGTGAAAAAATGTTCTACAACACATACAACAATTTTGCTTTATGAAGTTTTTACTCACCCCCTGCCGTTTTTCCAATAGGGGTAGTTTGAAGTTTTTTTATTTTTCTACATAAAAATTTTCTTGATAAAAGTTTTATAAGATTACATTTCCTACAATTTTTCCTTATCAACTTTTTTTATAACTCACCCCCATTCAGCGGGGACACTTCCCTTAGGAAAATTTTAGTTTTTAGGGGTATATATTAATTTTTTTTTTCTTTTCTCGCCTTTAGTGTATATAAAAAGTTGCAATTAACATTGTATTGAAAGTATTTTTTTCCCACCACCTTTTTGTTTTTAGGGGTAGTTCGCCTATTTTCAACTTTACAAAAAAAAATTATTAAGAATACTTGTTCATTTTATTATTTTGAACACCTTTTCTTTATAATTTTTTTTTGTAAAGTTAAAAATAGGCGAACTTCCCCTAAAAACAAAAAGGTGGTGGAAAAAAAATCCTTTTAATACAATGCTAATTGTAACTTTTTATATGCACTAAAAGCGAGAAAAGAAAAAAAAAACTAATATGTATACCCCTAAAAACTAAAATTTTCCTAAGGGAAGTGTTCCCCCGCTGAATGGGGGTGAGTTATAAAAAAAGTTGATAAGGAAAAAATGTAGGAAATGTAATCTTATAAAACTTTTATTGAGAAAATTTTTTTGTAGAAAAATAAAAAAACTTTAAACTAGCCCTATTGAAAAACGGCAGGGGGTGAGTAAAAAATTCATAAAGCAAAAATGTTGTATGTGTTGTAAAAAATGTTTTCACGTTGGTTACAATTTTTCATTTTCATTATAAAATTTCAAACGGCCCTTATGACCACAGACGGCCCCTAATCAAAAAAGTCTTCAGATAAACATTGTAGATCAAATAATGTTGCACATCTTTTATTTGAAACATTTTTTTGTAAAATCAATAGGTACCAAGTAATCGCCAATGGCGCACTTTCAACCCCTATAGCGCAAAACGCCAGGGGGGTGAATGTTTGATATTTTCGGTTTTATGATCACCCACCCGCCCCCTATCATCCCTGAAAATTTCATTTGGGTAGGAGTTTTTTTTTTGCAATGCATGTATTTTTCGACTATTTTCCTAGACTACACGTATTTTAAGCTCACAGTACGAAATCTATAAAAACAAACTTTAAAAAATATGTTAAGTGTTGCCACATGGTTTGCAAGATGCATTGGGAAAAAAGTGAAAACTGCTAGAATAGAAACATTTTGGTTGATATCTCAAAAATTATTCGTAGCTTTATAAAAAAAAAGTTAAAGATAAAAAATATCTATGTTCTTATGTTTTCTCGACAAAATACCATTTTTTTTTATTGATTACTTACCTATTTTACTTATTTAAAGTACTCCTCAGCGTGTTTAAATCCAACATTCAAAAACGCGCGTGTTTTAAAGTTATCATGACAACATCAACAACCCAAGAAAGGTAGGTAAAGTCTAAATGTCAACTTTTTGATTGATTTGTCAGGAGTAAGTACTTGTAGATAACGTCAAATAAAATATAACAAGTGTCAACGAATTTAGCATTCTACAATTATTAGAAATATTTGATTTGAACGTATACCAATAAAAAAAATAGTGTAAAGTATTCGTGGATAACTGGTCTTAAAAACACTTGCTCTATTTCGAGCACTCCGGCTGCGCCGTCGTGCTCGAAAAATCGCGCGTGTTTTAAAGACCTTAATATCCACTTATACTTTAATATACTATTTGTCTTTTTAAAATGACATTCGTCATTTGAAACATCAAAGCTCAAGCATTTTTTTATTAGAGTTAACAGTGGAAATTTTGATTTTCAATAGAAATGCATTTTTGATTTTCTCCGTTATTACACTTTGGTTAGAATCAATATTTATGAATAATTATTGATGCTGGAAAGTATTCGTGACTCGTTTTAATAACTGAGCTTATTTCGTAATATTTTCATTGACAGAGTATTCTGATTTTGGTAACCTAACGTTGATAATGTACGAATCCGCATCTTTCACCGATTGTTTGTAGCAAAACGCGCCCAAGTACTCTTTTTAATTAGTTAAATGGTAAATGGCGAACGATATATTGATGGTGTTTATTTCCTTGAGCGGCTATCTATAAAATTGTGGAGGGGGTCTATTCGCAAAAGAGAGAAACAAACTATTGAGGTTTACAAAATTATATTTTATTATACTTAAAACAAATATTAAAATAAAGCAAATATCTTTCTATGTCTGTCAGCCGCCTATAAATTTTCCCAAACCAATTTATTTTACATCCTTTCAAACTGTATTACTTCGGACCAGGAATTATCCATACTAAAAACGCCCTACTTCTTCTATTCTTTATAACTTATAAGTTTATACATTTACTCTTTCAAACAACACTTCCGATTCATATTCCTAATGAAACTACCATTACCTATAGCTATAAATTCTTGAAATTCCTAAGTCATTAACTGACAGCTTACGCAGAACAATCATAATCCTACTCACTGGATCAAGTGTCTATGTATCACCAACTATATTTTTATAAAAACTTAACAATAATTTCTAAATGGTTAAAACCCTAAATCAAAATTTAGCACTTAAGGTCAACAATGTTAAGTACTTTATTAACAACAATTTTTAAACAAAACTTTCCAATACATTTAGTGGTTCTATCCTTCACTAAGGATCATTTTAAACAGAACAATACTATTTAAGAATTCCTAATCAACATACACAATTATTTAAATTCTTATTATAGCCCTTAAACTTCAATTGGACAATCCAATTCAAAAATCTTTAATAATTCATACTTAAATCGATAATTGTTAAGAGCATTATAATTTTCCCCTCTAAATTCTTTGCAAAATTAATTAAAATGTCATTTTACTCGAAGGCAATTAAAGTTATGCAATAATGTTCCATAGTCAAAAAACTCGAATTATTAATATTTATGCAATAAAGTTCCAAAGGTAATTCACTTCATACTTCATAGCCATTCATCATTTATAGTCAAAATAAAACTTGTCACTAGAGTACTTACATTTCGGCTTTAAATCACTAAACTAATCTAATTTAATTCTTCTGATTACTTAGAGCTCGCACATAACGTTGAACGAATTTAAATGGTCTTTACAATTTTCCGTTACTTTTTCAAAGTTCAAATAAACGCGTTTTCCCGATGCAACAAAATAAAATAAACTCTTCGCGAATTTTATCCGGACTGACTCATTAAGTACTTTAAACTCAACTGGACTGATGTTAGAACTGCACTTAAACTTCTAAATCCGCTGTATTTATATTTTTCGATTCCCCCCAAAATATTGTTAATTACCCACCAAAATCGACAATGGGCGGTCGTTTAACCATCTGTAACTCAGTTCTATTGGTCGACCTAGATATTATTCCAAAAGTTAATTTCATCTTTTAGATGATGATACAATCTGTTCGAAATTTTTGTCATTTTGGGTCCAATTTAATTAGGTGCTTAATCTTGTATTTTATCTTTTCCGGGTTTTTATTTACCAGTTCAAATCATAGAGTCTTTACATGTTCATCGAGTACCATAAAGCCATTTTGCGTGGTAGAATTGAAATTTATAGTAGATCTCTTCCATTTCATCATTGATCATCCAAATTCCTGCTAATTTGTTCCATGATATCAGCTTACAAAATAAACTTTCCTAAAACCTTGACAATATCGAACAAACATTATGATCTGTGAATCTGCGAATTATCCAAATCAACAAATGCAGCGCAGAAACTACTTTTTGTTTTGGAGTTACGAAAAGCGCGGTCTTGATTTCATATTTACTCAGAACAATAGATATAGAAAATTGCTGTATTTATATTATTCACGGTTTTATAGAGTTTAAAAAGTGATAACCTAATCTACGAATATGTACTTCGCGATTCCTATAAGGTTTTTAGGTTTTTTTTCTAAGGCTTTCGACTGTTTTTTAATAATTTATTATGCAGGTATTGGTTTAGTCAAATTTGGTTGATGCATAAAATGGCAAATGAAATTTCCTATGGTACCAAGCAAAATGTTCCATAAAACAAGAATCCAATATTATATAATGTAATTAATAATTATTGTCGAATTTTCAGGATAGAAATGTACGTAGAAGACAAAGTTTCGCACCGAGGTCCATTCCCCATAGACGTCACAGAATCTCAAACTGTAGCAGAATTGAAACAGCAAATAGCTGCAGAATTTGAAATTCCCGTAGAAGTGCAAAGATGGATATTGGGGAAAGAGTTGGTGGTTGATGATAATTCCAGTCTTAAGCACCATAATATTACCGAGGGATGTCCAGTTTTTCTTTATTTAGTTGCTCCAGGTAAGGATCAAAAGATTTGTTAAATAGTATACCTACATTTTCAATGAAGTCTAGTGTTTTTTTTTTTTTTCGAAGACCAAACAGTTAAATTTAGATCTCAAACTAAAACTTTCTGATTTCATGCAGGTGACATTTATGGATTTTCTACTTAATAAAATCGTCAGTTTACAGGAAACCGGTTGACAACTATAACTAAAAATAAATTTTCTTTCAAAATTTAAAAATAAATCTCTCCTCTTGATAAAAGAGTGAAAAGTGAAAACTGTACAAAGTGTTAGAAAGCATAATTACCGCCATAGATTTGTTTTAATTTCTAAAAATATATGGAGACCAAGGTTAACGATACTCTGTTAGGTTATTAGTGAAAAGAAAATATACTAGACATCGAATTGTAATTTATTTATTCTTGGCAACCATATTCACTGTCATTACACATTTTCAAGGTCTTAAAGGTAATTTTAATTTTTTAGAGAAAAAGCCCAGAGAATTTCAAACGAAAAAGTCCTCTGCCATAGCTCAACCATCGACATCAACTTCAAGCAATGATTCTTCTACAATAAATTCAATATCGATTAATCTGAGGCAAACCAAAAACGTAAATGCAACTACAGAAAAAAATGATATTCCAGAACCAAAAAAGAACAAAATCGAAGCACCCAAAATTGTAAATGTGATACCAAAGTCGTCAGACGTTGCCAAAGCTGAAGTAATTCGTATTGTACCTATTCAAAAAGGAATAACAAATGGAAAACCAGAATCTGGTATTAAACCTCCCTCAACAGTAACTGAAATTAAAGTAGATATTAAACCATATTCTTCGAGATACGAAAAGGATGATATAAAAGAAGAAAAAACTGGATTAGTTCGAGCAACAGCGACAAAAATTGAAGTTTTCCAAGCTCCTCCATTATTGACGGCAAATATTAATTCTACTCAAGAAACACCTAGAAGAGCTTCTGTTCAACAAACTTCCTCTCACGAATCTTCAAAATCCGAAACTGTAAAAACGGAAGTTAAAGAAGCAAACATTTCTTCGACTAGTGCAAGCAGTGATAAAAGCTCAACCAGAATATATCCAAACCTATCCAATTTATCTACCACCGCAACTTTATCACAAATAGCTCCCAATGCTTCCATAGAGGAATATGATACAAACACACTTAGACCACCAAAAGAATGGGAATGCCACTTATGCACCCTTCTCAATCCCGATTCCAGCAACATTTGCGCAGTTTGTGCTACAGTTCGTATAAAGAAAACCTCTTTGAGGAGATGGAACAAAAAGAAACCCGCCCCTCAACCACAAAAAGATCAAACGTATCTTCAATTAGTGAATTTAGATAGTGCTGATTTGGTAGCTAACGCCGATGTTTTTGAGTGCTTGGTATGTTTCTTGGAGGTTGCAAAAGGAGATGGTGTAACTTTGAGGGAGTGCTTGCACCAGTTTTGTAAAGACTGTTTGGCGAGGACTGTGGAGTTTTCCGATGACGCGGAAATTAAATGTCCCTTCAGGGACGAAGAATACTCGTGTAATATAGCAATGCAAGACCGTGAAATAAAGGCATTAGTTTCTCCCGATATGTACGAGCAACATTTGGCTAAATCGATGGCGCAGGCTGAGAATCGTATGGAGAAGACTTTTCATTGTAAAACTCCAGATTGTAAAGGATGGTGTATATTTGAGGATAACGTCAACGAATTTCGATGTCCTGTTTGTAGGAAGACGAATTGTTTGACTTGTCAGGTAGGTTTTTTTTTAAAGCTTTTCTATACTTAACTACTAACCCATATAATCAGTCTAACGTGAACTTCCCATGAATGAGTTTGTATTTATTTCAAAATATCTTGATTTAACGACAAATTTCAAATTGGTAAAAGGATATAAATAAGGTCTGATGGGATATTTCACTATAAAAGCTAGAAGAGCTTTCTATTGTATTGTCAAAACTGAGATTGATGAACTTTGATTTGCTATCACTTAAGAAAGTAATTAAATAACTCACTGACTGCGGGTCTATTTCCAAATACTATACCACGAACAGAAAATCAGTTATTCTTTTGAGGATTCGGAAAATGTCACTGGTATATGTTTGTAAACCGCTCATTAACCGACCCGTGGCGTTGTTAATTTGGTTCAGTCTTTTTATAGGACCAATATCTGAAGGAACTGGCTGTTTGGAATATTTTTAACAGCAACACAACGAAATACCTACTTAAGTTTATTTAGAAAAGTTTGGATGCCTATTGATATATTTCCGCCTAATATAAATCAATAAATCTTCATTCTTCCTATTTATAGGCAATTCACATGGGAGCCAACTGCAAACAATACCAGGAAAGAATGAAAGACGAATCAAATATGAACGAAGATGCTAGACGAACCAAAGATTTCTTAGAAGAAATGGTCGAGAAAGGGGAAGCTATTGCCTGTCCAACTTGCAAGGTAATTTTTTTGAAAAAAAAAATATGTTGAATTGAAACGTGTTCGCAGGACTGTGGCAAATTTGTGCAAGTATGTAACTTAGTATTGCAAAAAGTATTCTCCCAAGAACTTGTGTTTTTTAAAGAATATCTTGTGAAATGTATACCTATTGGACAACAAAATTAAAGTTATGAGTGGGCATATAGACACTAAAATGTGTCAGTGCCTAAGGTCAAAATAAAGCAACAAATCGTTGCTCTAGATTTCCAAAATCAAATAGATTTGTCTCTGTATTTATTTATGATATGTATATTTTCCAGGTGATACTAATGAAAAAATGGGGCTGTGACTGGTTAAGATGTTCAATGTGCAAGACAGAGATATGCTGGGTAACGAGGGGTCCCAGATGGGGCCCCGGTGGTAAAGGAGATACTTCAGGTGGATGCAAGTGCGGACTAAATGGAGTCAAGTGCCATCCAAAGTGTAATTATTGCCATTAGTTATAGTAATTTTTTTTTTTTAGAAAATTAGCTAGGAAAATAAAGTTACCAAGGTATCTATACGCTTATATTAGTGATCGCGTGTTTTTACTGTTTTTTATTATTAAAGATATTGAAATTTCCTGTTACTTCACATTATCTAATTATTATTATTGTTTGTTTTGTTATTTTTTTGCTTTTTTGTTTGTTAATTCCTTTTTCAAAATAGGTTCAATTAAATATAAATATTAATCTACACTAAAATAATTATTCTGTGTGCTTTTAGCTAAGTGTCTAATTTTTTTTATAAAGAATATGTGTGATAAATAAAGGTGGTAGGTATATACGACAGAATTTGTTCCAATAATAAAATTTGAAGTTAAACAGCTATGAACCAGAAAGAACTAATAAAATCGCAGAGAGAATCTGTGTTTCAGGAAGAGCACTTTTAAAGTCATTTAAGATCCCTAACAAAAAGCAAAATTTTTAATTGCCCTTTTATAAAAATATTTTGATTTTATTGTGACTAGGGCTCTTTTTCTTCTGTGAGAACTGAACTCATGGAAACTCATTATCAATTCTCTGGTTTCATTTAGCCTTTTTTCCAATAAATTTTAGAGGTACCTAACCTGTTGTAAGTACCCACCTATATAGTTATTTTATAGCTTAATGTAACTAGGTACTTACTTATTTAGTCAAATGGGTATATTTAATAAGAAATATGACTGATGAAGTTAAAACTACCATAATTGGTACCACTGCCCTTATGTATTGCTAAACAAGATAAGTAAAGAAAATAAATGAATACATATTTTCAAGGTTTAGTTTCTTTTTAACCCTTACAATTCAATATAGGTATTCTTTATTATAGAAGTTAATTAAACATTTATCAACTTACCGCTTATTCCCTCAGAGATTTACATAATAGTCAAATAGTTTCAGAAAACTTCAACTAAAAAAACCCTCATTCTAAAACTAAAACTTTTAGAACAGATTGACTAATTTCCACCACTCGGACACATATGCAATATCCTGTTGAAGCAGCATGCAGTCATCCCGGTTTTCGGTTTTGAACGATCCTAAAGATCTTTAAATAATCAGCGAATAGTAGACAATCGCTGGTCAAGTTCTTTGTTATATCATTGATGAAAACAGAAAATATAAGAGGAAGGGTTACCCTAGGGTGCACCGTGCACCACTTCTTCTTTTTCAGTCCGGTATTCGGCCACTGCAGGATATAGACCTCTATATCTTCCTACAGTTTCCTGTCCTGAGTTTTTTGTATCCAGTTCTTTCCTGTGATTTTCTGGATATTGTCTCGCCATATTTCTGGGGTCGCCGAACACCCCTCTTTGTTTCTCTTGAGCTCCATCCATACTATCAATCTGCTATGGTCCATCTGCCATCCTATTGTGATATATGGCCAGTCCATCGCCATTTCAGCTATGTTGTTCTTCGCATCACATCCACCACTCTTGAAGATTATTTTCTCATTTGGCACTTGATCTCTCAAACTTATCCCTAGCATGATCCTTTCCATTGCATTGAATGCTCTGTTACCTGCAGGGTGTAAACCTATGAGCTTACCAAAGGCCGCCCAACAACTTCCTTCGAGAGATTTCGGCCGTTTGATTTTCTTTACCCAAACGAGATATCTGTACTCATGATGAGAATGATGTCGTCTGCGAATCGTAAATGGGTCAGTCTTATTGTTTTATCTAAGTATATTAATTCCTTGATCCCGCGGGATTTTATCAGTTTTTCGTAAATGATGTAATGTTTTTTATGAGTGGTGAGTATCTAGAGTCAATTTTGGTAAGGTTTAGTGACCTTGAGATTGCCTCACGTTTCAAGAGAGTCGAATGCTTTCTGGAAATCGATGAGAACCAAATAGGGGTATATTGTAGGTACTCTGTTGCCTTCTCGAATTAGCGTGCGTATAGTTTGCAGATGGTCAATCGTAATGTATCCTTCACGGAACCCCGTCTCTTTACCAGTAACGCTATTCTTGAAATATTTCGATGGAAAATTGTGGGAGTTTTATTCCGACCACAAAGAATACAAAAAGATTGACAACTCGAGTGATAACGAGCCCTTGTAAATGTAGGGGTGAATTTCACTGAAAACATTTTGATTCTTGTGGATGAAAAGTCCAGCAGCATTTCTTTCTGCTCTTTGCTAATATTTCCTTTGATATAATAAAAATTATAATTTAATGCACTATAAGATCGAATCCAATCAAAATGGCGGCCGATGCCATGCGACACGCAATGAAATTGGCGCCATAAATGACATTTTTTATCAGAACATTCTTTTTTTCAATAGCTACTGGTAAAGTCTTTAATCTACTTAAAAATAGTAGATAAAGTAGTATAAAGACGTTTTTTCTGTGACGAGAAAAATAGTATATTGGTGTATTAGGAGTAGAAGCTTTACTTTTTTGTGCTGAAGCGGTCCCAACCAGCAATTTTAGTCGCCGCTACGTATCCTCGACTACAAAGAGAACTTTAAAGTTGGCGTTCCTAGTATCGGGAACCGTTTAGGCACCGTTTCTTCACCACGTTGTTACCAAAATGGGGAATGATTTTGCAGTAAGGTTTACGTGCCTGGATCGTCCTCGGAACTGTTAATTTACGTCCCGAGACCGTTTCGGGAACGTTGTGAAACCGTAAATGTGTGGTAATATCAACCAAAATGGGACTTTTTCCCATGCGCCTTCAACCTTGAAGATATTTATTTGATCTTTCTATCTCTTTCAACTAAAATTATGTATATTATGTTACCGTTCATCCAGCCAGTACTTTAAGTTCACAATATGTCCACCTTTATTTTGTTTACTTGATCATTATTACGTACCTATATGAATATTGAAAGGCTTTGATTTTCGTACCCAAGCAGCTAAAACCCAAACGAGTGAAATTTTTCTGTGAAAATTAAGTATGCTAGATCTGAAAATAACAACGCGCCCTCAAACTAAAACATTTTGATGATAAAAATATTTAAAATAGAAGATATACTAAAATACAAAATTATTTATTCAAAGGAGTTAGCACTTTTAATAGGTCCATTTTAATTAGAAATCATAAAAGTCCAAGGTTTTTATTAGTAAACAGATAATATAAGGCGTGAATTTTCTACTTTTATACAAAATTAAGTTTTTCCAAAAAATGGCGTCTTAAATTTTCTATAAAACATGGCGTAAATTATTCAATGCTACGTTGAAGTTGCCTCTAGATTCGTTAAAGTAGAATTTACCTATACATAAGTGGCGTTCACGAATCCGTTACCTTACAATGTTACTTGGAAGTGGCGAACTCTAAAGTGTTTTCTATTGTCCCTCTGCGGTTGTGGTTACCTTCAAAAACACTTAGTAGTCACGCCTACTCAAAAGTTGATTTTTTCACGTTACGGTGACAATTATTTGTTACTTTAAAGTTTTGGTGTCGAATAAGTAGCTAAACCTTGACGCCCCACGGTTCCAGCAACCCTGAAACTTACCACAATGTAATGACACCATATAGTCACCAAATTGGGTAAGTGTTACGGAAGTTCCACTAATTCTTCTAACTTACTAAAGGTTTAAACTTCATAGTAAGTTATTTGGTACCAATTACTATTTTTTTACCCAATCATAGTAGCAGTGTCGATCAGTGAGGGTTTCTATAACTTTGATGCTAGTTGGGGTAGGTTTGCGAGCCGAACGTAGTGAGGCTTGCAATACTGCTGAAGCACAAAAAAGTGCTTCTATTCCGTATGCAACACGCTATTTTTTCTCCAAACGAATGGGGTAAGCTCAGGGGCAAGTGAATGGTTGAGCGGCAGCAAAAGTACGAGCGGCACTAAAAGTACTTTTGCTGCCGCTGGGGTTGCCAAGCAGCATAGAAATTAAATTTCTACCACCTCGACAGGTGTTAACCCGCTGGATTTGCCTAGCAACATAGAAATCAAATTTCTGACATCTTGACAGGGGTTAACAAAGTGACGTTTTTCTGACGTTTGGAGAAAAAATGATTTTTTTTTCACGGGAAAAAAGTTACAGGTACCACCAGTCAAATTTTTTTCTCAAAGGGAAAAAAGTATAAGTACGTACGGTCACAGAAAAAAAAATGTATAGATGGAAAATGGTGAGATTTTCCCGTCACAGAAAAAAATAGTGTGTATTACGGGAAAAAAGTAAAATTTTAGCGCTTGCTGTGTTGTCCACACCTCGCGCTAAAATCTAGTACCTACTTTTTTCCCTTGTATAATAAATAACTATTATTTTGTCAAAAATATGTACTATCGTCACCAAAACTAACTGGGACAGCATCCTATTAGCTCTTGTGCTATTATATGAATTTCATTGTCAAATATTTGTCAAACTATGAATTAAATGCATTGAAATGAATGACGTTAGAATTAGTCCAGGAGATTATTATGCATTATTTTTGTCCCAGATACTTTTGGTGACGATGGTAAAGTATTATATACCAAAGTCTGTATTACCAATATCAGTTGAAAATCGCATCTCTATGATGACTACTCAAAATTAGAAAAATACCCCTTATGATAATATATAATTATTTTTATATTTTTATGCCTAGTCCTGGTACACTATTTCAAAGACACCGCACACCGGCAAAAAAACTTAAAAAGTGTGGGCAATGCCGCTGGTCTTTGTCGCATACCGACAAAGCCAAGCCCTTCTTGTTGACAGTGTGAGATATCTCTTTAGAAGTGGACAAAAGTATAAAATTACACAGATAATTGAATCAAAAACTATTTCAAATTTGAGTTTCTAATGAAGGAATAATATTCCCATTTAAATATGTATATTTGATTTATTTTAATAGTTTAAAACGGAATTTTAAGGATTACCTACTATATGAATTTTGCCCCTTTATTTAATATATTAACTCCACTGTATTCTAAAAGTAAATCAGCAAGAATTTCGGGGCAATGGCGTTCGTCATTTCAGTTTTTATGGAAATATCTGGAGTATGTTTATTCTTTATTAACCAATTTGTTTTCATTTGTCATAAAAATAATATTTAGATGCCTATGGATTCCCACGTGACTACAAAGAGATCGACTGAGCCGCCTTTTTAATGAAGTTTCAATTAACAATGGTTAAACTATACCTACATATTTTGTTTTTTATTCATTTGTCAAAGTTTGTCAAACGAATTTCTACTTATGCAAAAGTGTTCGACTCAAATAATTTCTAAATATTTTTGATACTACACTTTATTTTTTCCCAAGATAGATTTTGACATTGAAAACTTTGGAACATAAACAATAACGCTTGAACCTGATTGGTCGCAAAATGAGGTGTTTCTGCAGGTTGACGCCAGTTTTACAATAGCGACCAATAAGCGGCATTAGCGGCATTGTGTATGTTTCAAAGTTGACAATGTCAAAATCTATCTTGGAAAAAAATAAACCATACAGGCGTCCATATCCATTAGGCTATGGAAAAAAACTTTGTTTTACACACGACGATAAAATGCCATTATCGTCTCCCGGAATTAATTCACTCGCGATTCCGCTCGTGAATTAACTTTTCCGGTCAACGATTAACTTCCATTTTATCGTCTTGCATAAAAAATAACTATTTTGTGTATTTTGTGCGGTTTCAAGGTGATTTTTTAGTGCTTGGAAGGATAATTTTCGTATTTTAAGATGGAGAGTTTTTATTTTAAGAAGTTATTAGTGGAAAACCCTTTGTTACCTGCTTATTAGTTTTTTCTTAACTAAATCCTGAATACTGATGTTTATTTTATTTGTCTGCTATTCAAGGTATAGACACAAGTTGAGGATAGTAATAAATGGCTTGGAT